CGTTCTTGGACAAAACGCAGTAAGTTCACTCACACACACATCTCTTCAAGTCACTCTCTCATCGCTTTTGATAGAATCTTAGAAGTAGAAACTAAAAATGTTCCAATTTGTTTTAGTCCATTAAATCTTATGATAAAAGCTTATGAATTTATTAAAAACAGGTTCATGGTGCGTTTGCTGGATACAGCGGAATCACGGTAGGCATAATCAACACTCACTATGCTTATTTGCCAATCCCTGAGGTAATTGCATATCCAAAATCAGTTGATCCCAATAGTCGAATGTGGCATCGTTGCTTGACATCAACGGGTCAACCCGATTTCATCTAAAAAATCTTATTCAATCACGAAACAAACTGATAAAAATAAGCCTTGAAATGTATATACAGCAGCATTCTTGGTTCCTTATTATGATGTATCAAATCATATATTTATTTACTTTAAGTAGGAAATTTATTTAAGCAGTGAAATTTTTCATCATTTACCAAACTTGTAATGTGTTCCTTTAATTACTATGGACCACTTTTGTTCTTTTAATTGTTCTTCTTCTCTTCCTTCAACTTTCTCTCCTGAATCTCTCTGTTCACGTGTCTCTTACTTCAGATTGAAACTAAAAATAAATCTGTAGTATTACATTGTGATCCTTAACTTCTATGATCTTTCAATTTTTACCTGTTTTTAGGGAATTGGTCTCTTTGTTTTTTTTTACTTTTTTTATTTGAATCTTCATTTATTGAGTTGTGAATGTTAGCAACCAATGTAACATAGAAAGGTGACGATTTACGTAATTTGTGCAAGTTAGATTCTTTTTAATTTACTACTCAAAATGTTGAGTTTCTGTCTACGAGATATTATTAGAAGTTTGTAGTCCTATTCATCCCCATAATATTGAAATCTCAATATCTGAATATCATTTTTACCCTCAATTATTTTTTTCTTTTTATAGAACAAAATTCAAGTCGTTTCACTTAATTTAAATAATTATTTTTGTTGAGTACTAAATTTTACTTTCTTACAAAAAGAATAATTATAACTGTGCCCAAAAAGAAAACTGTGACCAAAAAAGAGAGAAGCAAGAAAGTGAGGGGGAAAAATGTCGTTTAATTGCTGAACTTTCAAAAAATGGCCGTTTAATACGTGAACTTCTCATGTGGCCAGTTTAAACACGAACTTAACGTTGACCGGCCATTTTAACTAAATATAGTCGTTGACTACGCCAAAAAGCCACACCGTTAGCAGTCACTAACTGAGCCGATAACGGCCGTTTACCCTCGTTAATGAGTCTCCGTTAGACCGAAAACGACGTCGTTTTACTCTTAAACCAAACCCCAAAATCGAAATCGATTTTATCCCCTTTCATAAACCTCAAATCCCTAAATTTCAATTCTTTGAGCTTTCAATCTCTCACTTCATCGTTCCCAATTTTAATTTCTTTGAGCTTTCAATCTCAATCTTCATCGAATTCTCGAGAGTGAGCTCAAGAAATGAGTTGCAGTTCTGGGAATTCTTGTGTTAAAGACGGTGGATGTGGCTTCCGTGGGTTTCCTTCGAAGTGTCATTGTGGGCTAGACGTCGTCATCTATACATCGGCGACGAAGCAGAACCCTGGAAGACCTTTCTTCCGTTATCCAACCAAACAAGATGTAAGTAGATTTGATTTTATATCTTCTTGTGTTTTGAAAATTGTTCATAATTTGTTTGTAAATGCACAGGATCATTTGTTTAAATGGGTCGAAGATGGTGTATACGAGGAGGTTGTTGATGCTCTTCCAAAATTCTCCATCATTGACAGCCAAATAGAGAATGCCAAATCTGAAGTTGCTGTCGAGATTGAAGAGTTAAAGGTCATGATCAAAGAATTGAAGGACGAAGGAATGTGGAGCAAAAGGGAAATAAAGAAATGGAAAACGAAGCTCGTGGTCGGAAACAAAGCTCGTGGTCGAGGCAGGCGTCGAAAACGAAGAAAAGGCATGGTCTTAGAGGACGATGAAGATCCTGAAAAGGAACCAGACCCCGTCCCCGACATTGAAGATGATTGTGCGGTGTATGGTGATGAAGACTGCGATGCTGTTGATGACGCAGTAGGCGGTGATGTTGGTGAAGGTAATGATGATAATGCTGGAGTTGAAGCTCGAAACGAATCAGATATGGTTGTCGGAGACTGCGATGTAGCAGGTGGTGAAGGTAATGATGATAATGGTGGTGTTGATGCAACAGGTGGTGGAGATAGCGATGATGATGCAACAGCTATTGAAGAAGATGTCAACTTCAACATTGGAGAAGATTTCCCAGAGGCTGTTAGAGGAGATGAAGCTGGTAGTGACTCGGATAGTGGAGATGATATATGGGACGAAGACAAGATTCCAGATCCTTTGTCATCTGATGACGAAGATGAAGACAAAGCTAGAGAAGAGGAAGCTGGTAGAGGTTCTGATGATCCAGAGGTTTTGCTAGAATTGGAGAAAACTTACAACTCTCCCGAAGACTTCAAGCTTGCACTTTTGATGTACTCTTTAAAGACAAGGTATGACATTAAGCTCTATAGGTCTGAAGCTATGGTTGTTGCTGCGAAGTATTGTTATGTAGATGATGAAGGTGTTGAATGTTCATGGAAAGTTTATTGTGCATATGAGAAGAGGAAGCATAAGATGCAAATAAAAAGATATATCAATGAGCATGTATGTGTAAGGTCAGGATATTCAAAGATGTTGAAGAGGTCCTCCATTGCTTTGTTGTTTGAGGAAAGGCTGAGAGTGAATCCAAAGCTTACCAAGTTTGAGATGGCTGCTGAGATTAAGAGGGAATACAAGTTGGAAGTGACTCCAGACCAGTGTGCTAAGGCCAAGACTAAAGTGCTGAAAGCTAGACATGCAAGCCATGATGCTCATTTTGCAAGAATTTGGGATTATCAAGCAGAGGTGTTAAAGCAGAATCCAGGGACGGATTTTGAGATAGAGACTATTGCAGGGGCAGCCATTGGTCAGAAGCAGAGGTTTTATCGTCTTTACATTTGTTTTCAAGCTCAAAAAGAATCATGGAAAAAGACGTGTAGACCTGTGATAGGAATAGATGGAGCATTTCTAAAATGGGATATAAAAGGTCACCTTCTAGCTGCAGTTGGCAGAGATGGTGATAATAGGATAGTTCCTATTGCTTGGGCAATTGTGGAGATAGAAAACGATGATAACTGGGACTTCTTTTTGAGAAAACTAGCTGAAAGTTTGGGGCTGTGTCAAATGCAAAATCTAGCAGTCATTTCAGATAAACAATCGGTGAGTTTTTATGCAAGTTTGTCTTATGTTCTGTGATTTCTTTATGTTGTTTTATTTAAGGTTTGTAATCTATGTCTTATTGCAGGGTCTTGTCAAAGCTATCCACTCCATACTTCCACAAGCTGAGCATCGTCAATGTTCAAAACACATCATGGATAATTGGAAGAGAGACAACCATGATATAGAGCTTCAACGTCTATTTTGGAAGATAGCACGCAGCTACACTGTAGAGGAGTTCAATAATCACCAAGAGGAGCTTAAGTTGTACAATCGCCAGGCTTATGAATCTCTGCAACGTACTAGTCCTATGACATGGTCTAGAGCATTCTTCAGAATAGGTACCTGTTGCAATGACAACCTAAATAATCTAAGTGAGTCTTTCAATAGGACTATTAGACAGGCCAGGAAGAAGCCAATACTGGATTTGCTAGAAGACATCAGGAGGCAATGTATGGTCAGAACTGCAAAGAGGTTTCTTATTGCTGACAAGTTGAAGACAAGGTTCACAAAGAGAGCTCATGAAGAGATTGAGAAGATGATAGCTGGGGTTGGTAATTGCGAGAGATATATGGCCAGAGAAAATTTGCATGAGATATATGTGAATGGTGTTGGCTACTTTGTTGATATGGAGTTGAAAACTTGTGGTTGCAGGAAATGGGAGATGGTTGGGATCCCTTGTGTTCATGCGGCTTGTGTGATAATAGGTAGAAAAGAAAAAGTTGAAGACTATGTAAGTGATTATTACACTAAGGTAAGGTGGCGAGAAACTTATAGGAAGGGTATAAGGCCTGTCCAGGGAATGCCATTGTGGCCTAGAACAAATAGGCTGGCTGTTTTGCCACCACCATGGAGAAAAGGCAACTCAGGGAGGCCAAGTAACTATGCTAGGAGGAAAGGAAGAAATGAAACTGCCTCTGTCTCTTCTAAAAATAAGAACAAGATGTCCCGGGAAAAGAGAATCATGACATGCTCTAACTGCCTGCAAGAAGGACACAACAAGCAGGGTTGCAAAAATGCAACTGTCTTGAATAATCAACCAAAGAGACCAAGAGGTCGTCCCAGGAAAAATCAGGTTAGTGACTCTTATGTTTTTTTTTTGTTTGACAGCTCACTTAACTCATGTCTTCTAATCTCATACATTTGACTTAGGAACCACATGTGGTTGGATCACAATCTTATCAAGGATCACAACCTCTACAAGGATCACAATCTTATCAAGGATCACAACCTCTACAAGGATCACAAGATCAGCAAGTACACGGATCACAGGTTCATCTTGGATCAGAAGGACAAAGGGCAACAGGTCGTGGAGCACAAGGATCTATGGCATCAAGTGGAGCATCACAAAGAGTACAACCTGATAGAAGACATGGATCTGCACAAGCACAAGCAGCAGCACAACCCCAAGCACAAGCACAAGCACAAGGACAAGCACAAGGACTTGGTGGATTGGCATCATGGTTTCAGTGTTCCTCTTAAGCTTAGTCTCAATTTTTTTCTTCTTGTTTGAACTTAAGCTTAGTGAGGGTATATTTTTGTTGGCTGACATAAGCTTCGTCTCGGCTTTCTTTTGTTGTTGTTTGAACTTGTCTTTATGACATGATCTTCCACTCGGCTTTCTTTTTTGTTTTTTGAACTTGTCTTTATGACATGATCTTCCACTCGGCTTTCTTTTTGTGTCTATGACATCATTGTTGTAATGTATGAATGGTTCTCTCTTAACTTCTCATTTTCAGAAATACCATTTCATTGCAAAAGATACAAACTCATACAAGACACGACACAAACAAGACACAACACAAAACTAAAACAAGAGAAGCCACAAACAAGAGAAACATGAACCAAGACCAAAGACAAAGACACAAACCAAATAAGACACTAATGCACACCTAGTAACCAAGAACTAACTTATGTCTTTTGTCTCCAACACCAAACAGTAGGATAACAAAGACAATGACAACAACACAAAGGCTCACTAAACACACTTTGATCATCGTTTTCCATTTCTTTATTTCCCTTTTGCTCCACATTCCTTCGTCCTTCAATTCTTTGATCATGACCTTTAACTCTTCAATCTCGACAGCAACTTCAGATTTGGCATTCTCTATTTGGCTGTCAATGATTGAGAATTTTGGAAGAGCATCAACAACCTCCTCGTATACACCATCTTCGACCCATTTAAACAAATGATCCTGTGCATTTACAAACAAATTATGAACAATTTTCAAAACACAAGAAGATATAAAATCAAATCTACTTACATCTTGTTTGGTTGGACAACGGAAGAAAGGTCTTCCAGGGTTCTGCTTCGTCGCCGATGTATAGATGACGACGTCTAGCCCGCAATGACACTTCGAAGGAAACCCACAGAAGCCACATCCACCGTCTTTAACACAAGAATTCCCAGAACTGCAACTCATTTCTTGAGCTCACTCTCGAGAATTCGATGAAGATTGAGATTGAAAGCTCAAAGAAATTAAAATTGGGAACGATGAAGTGAGAGATTGAAAGCTCAAAGAATTGAAATTTAGGGATTTGAGGTTTATGAAAGGGGATAAAATCGATTTCGATTTTGGGTTTGGTTTAAGAGTAAAACGACGTCGTTTTCGGTCTAACGGAGACTCATTAACGAGGGTAAACGGTCGTTATCGGCTCAGTTAGTGACTGCTAACGGTGTGGCTTTTTGGCGTAGTCAACGACTACATTTAGTTAAAATGGCCGGTCAACGTTAAGTTCGTGTTTAAACTGGCCACATGAAAAGTTCACGTATTAAACGGCCATTTTTTGAAAGTTCAGCAATTAAACGACATTTTTCCCAAAGTGAGGGCTAAAGAGTAAAGAGAAGATGAAAAATCTGCAAGTAAGTTCGAAAGGTCCCCACACTTTTATGACTCCCTCAAAATGCACTCTCCCCCATACTTTTTACTTTTTACATTTTGACTCTTGTTCTTTTCTTTTTACCCTTTTTCGCCATTTTACTTTTTTGCTCTTTTAAGCTTTTCTTGTTTGGTATAATTTAAAGTTTAAGAATGGTATAAATCATTAAATAGAGAATCTTAAATCCGCAAGTGTGTCTGGTTGCTCATAAGAATAAAATAATTACCGTTTACGTGTGTAATTAATGTTCGCGAGAACCAAAATACTTCCTGTTCATTAATTAGAGATATAATTTAAACTAATAGTAAGTTCCTGTGTTATTTTAAAATCATGACATAAAATAAATACCTTATGGCTTAAACGTGTAGTTTTATATCTTATCCTTAATTTTAAAAAATATGCATAATAAGCTATCATGGATTCCAATTCCATGATATAAGCTGACGAAAATTCAATATATAAATGATAAGACAAAGTACAGTACTGTCTTATGTGTGTTTGAGAATATTAAACAAAAATCTGAAATCACGAAATAGTTAGTTAATTTTATAATTAGAAAAAAGGACTAGGCACGCCGCATGCACCAACTTACATTAACAGTTCAACTTATTACATTGGAATAAAGTTTATAGATATAACTGATGTGTATAATTATTCTGAAGTTCGAACACTAAAGTTAAAAGTTGTGTCTGAAATCACGATGTCAAACTAGATTCGATTCCATTATTGGTATCAACCAAAAAAGTTTATTTTGCTAATTTGATTTGAAATTCTAATTTAAGGTTACATATATTTAGTACTCTCATGTATTGGTATATCAAAAATTAGATAAATAACATGTATATGGTTGGATTCATATACTTTATATTTATTAGTCACTGTAATTGAAAAATTATATAACTAATACCGGGCTCATAGAAAAACATTGCGATGTTAATTTTGTCATTGGTTCGATAAGTTTTAAAATATTATTTAATTTGAAAAAAATTAGAAATAATTTAAGAAAATATTCAATATTGTATAAGTAAATTCAATTTCAGCTTTTCCTAATTATATCTAGACCATGACAAATAGCAACAAATTAAACTCAAATAAGTATAAATTCAATTGTATTTTTTATGCATTTGGGAGTGGCGTCGGCAGGAGTGGCTGATGCAATTGGGAATGTCTACGGTGAAAGGATCATCTATCTTCGTTGATCTCGCCTAGGCATATGATTTTGGAGGTCGGACGCGTTTATTTTCGGAAACTTGCAGATCTTGAAATTTGGTATAAAGTATGATGCATGATGCTTATACTGTATTCATGGTTCTACAATTATAACATGAAAAGTAAGTACTTAATATATAATCATATTGAGCAACTCAAAAGATGCTTGATGATTCTCTTTTTATTTGCATGGCTAAAATATCATATCAAAATAGCTATCTGCCTTATGACCAATGTTATAATTTTGTAATTTTAACTTATAATTAATTGGTAATGCATGAATCTATTTATGTTTTTTCTATATATTAATATTAGTCTATCTCATTTCAATTTGGACGTACGTAGGATTCCTAATATAATACATCTTTTAATATTATTCTAGGTCTCATTATATTTCAAATATGTATTCGGTTAAAATTCGAACTTTGCTACTATGTAAATTTTATAAGCTACCAACTCAAAATAAATTGTCAACAAATAAACTTATTGTTTTTGATTATCTCCTAAAACAACTTATATTTTGAAACGGAGAGAATATTATTTATGTTTCAATTCACTTTCGCTGTGATACAAACTTTTATGTTGTTTGCTAGAACCAAGAGTACTTTATGGAGAAAATGGGTACATTTATGAAAATATATACATCACCACTATGAATTGGAAGAACTTGAATCATACAATTTAAAACAGAAGTTAATGTAAAGATAATGTTCACATCTATAAATATTGAACCATGATATAAACATGCTGTCGCCAATTATAGCCTGTACAACACAATCCTGCATTGGTAAGAGAATCTTATGCTTTATTTTTGGTGAAAATTTATAGCAACCAACTAGTGTGGTTGATCCACTTTGTTCGTCTTTATTTAAAGAAATAATACTGTAATGTTACAACTTTCATTGATAAAATACAAACCAAGATAGTATGTTATGAACGAAATGGCGATGATGTAATGGACTGGTATTCTTATCCATTTAGATGTATATTTTGTCATTTTGGTGTCGTTATTAATCTAGGTTGTTTGATTTGATCACAGTTTTTTTTTTTTTTTTAATATCTGATAAACAATGTTTTAGCTCAGGAATCTTGTTCATAGCAAAATAATTAAATCCTTGGAGTGTAAATCTATTAAAATTTCCAAATATATTACTGGTATATTATTACTTTGGCACTAGCAAATTCATTCTAACTAGATATATACAACACACACACATGGTGAGGGACAGTTCTGAAATTATCGAGACCATACAAAACAAATAAAAAAATAAATTTTTTGTCAAAGCAAAAAAAAAAAAATATTTAAATAGAATTTAAAATTATATGTGAAATAACTACAAAACAAGAACACAAGATATCAGAAAATAAAACCCTAAAATCTCTATATTATTTTAGCTGTTGAACTCCCACAAATTTTGATTCTATTTATAAATATTGTTGCAATTTTCTCTCTATCACACAATTCCTAATAACTAAATTTTACTATGATTAAATTAAGTATTAATTTTAAGTAGGTCATAAAAATGAAAGGCCTACACAAATGTTTCATAGCTGGCTCTAATTTTCACCTCTACCCTAGCAAAGTAGCAAGTAGCAGCAAGCAAGTGAAAGAGAGTAACTAACATAACTAAGCGAATAACCTTCTATTTTTCAATGTAATTTAGGGTTTTACTTCCCTTGTTTAGGTTTAGTTTCCATAGATTTATATATCTTCTTTTTTGCAATATTAAACTATCAGATGGAGAAAACAAACAAAACTAATAAACTAACACAAAATTAAAAACAGTTAACCTTTTTAACAGTATAATAGTAATTGAAGTAAGTCTATAAGTGCCACAAAGTTGTCATAATTGAAGTAAGTGAAGAAATTAAATTTTACATACAAACATGCATATATATACTTTGAAATCCGCAAGAATATGCTTATCTCGTTTTACACCAGTCTCGATCTAGGATTCAAATTGTTACTACTAAAACTAATTAATTATTGTTTTTGTTTTTTTTGTTTTTTTTTTTTTACTTTCATAAACTCAAATTAAATTTGTTCAAATTTTACTACAAGTTTACAAAATCAAACAACGAAAGTTCGCCTTTTAAATAAGCCAATCACACTAATAAAATAAAAATATATCGGTATAGTAGTATTATTATTTGTTGCTTATTAAAATCTAGTAGTACAAATTTTGTTATATAGTATGTACTTAGTACTTTTAGACTATGTACGTAAATGGGTGGTAATCACGTTAAACTATTTTAATTACTTATAATAATATTGAACTGCATTAGAATATAAATATAAAACAACAAACGAATGTATAAATATATTATTTATGAGCATTAAAAAAAAAAAAAAAAAAAAAAAAAAAAGAAGGCAGTAGATTCCCAAGGTTTCTTATGCTCAGTGATTATTATTTTTTGTTTTCTCAGACACGAGGAGAGAGAGATGTTGACCGGTCGCATAGTCAAAACAAAAATAAGTGGACCCACTAAGACCTCTTTTCAGGGCCCATTATGGTTTTCTCTTCTCCAATCCCCAAAACATGCAATTCTCTTTCAAACCAATTATGTTATTTTTGTTGTTGTCAACATTAAATAATTTCTTCAAACAAGGAAAATTCACATTAAAATCAAGGGATATAGCTTTGAGTATTATATGTGTCATCAAAATCTCATCCTCATCTTTTTTTTTTTAGGTTCAAAACTGATCATTGTATCTCTTTGTTGTTTGTTTTAGATTCTCTTCTATGCTGTATTTTTCCTTTATTAATATACTTCCAGTGAAAAAAAAAAGAGTTTTGAGCGTTATACTAACCATGTAAAAAGTACGATTTTTTAAAAATAATTTTTGTTAGTTTAATAAAAAGTATCGTTTTAAAGTTATTTTATTTTAAAAGTGTCGTATCTACTTTTTCTTTTTTAACAATTAGAAAATTTGAACCGCGGTTTAGATTAATTTTAGATTTATAAAATTTTGTATATATATTTTTAAAGTTTTATAGTAGAAAATCTTTTAAACTATGAGTTCGTTTTTACATTTTCACTATGATTTTCAAATGGAAGTTATAAATAACTTGTCATCTAAAACAAGAATTTTTTAGTTTAACTCATCTTTAATTAACTTGTTGTGTAGTGAATATAAGGGTGTCAAAATGTTTAACCCAACTCAACTCAACTCATTACCCAATGAGTTTAGAGTTAAATGAGTTGATGGGTTGACTCAACTCATTTAGTAAAATGATAATAATAATAATAATAATCAACATCACTATTATTTGGCGGGAAAATCACGGATTTATGTTTTTGGCGGGAAAATTACGGATTTACGTGGGAAAATTTTACATTCTCATTTTTGGTTAAAAATTATAAAAAATTTTGGCGGGAAAATCACGGATATATGTTTTTGGCGGGAAAATCACGGATTTACGTTTTTTGCGGGAAAATTTTACATTCTCATTTTTGGCTAAAAATTATAAAAAATTTTGGCGAGAAAATCACGGATTTACGTTTTTGGCGGGAAAATCACGGATTTACGTTTTTGGAGGAAAATTGCGGATTTACGTTTTCGGCGGGAAAATCACGAATTTATATTTTGATGGAAAAATTGTGTGTTCACATTTTTGGCGGGAAAATTAAGGACAATATTCAATCGGTTTAGAAGTTTTGGTTAGACTCAAATTGAAATCGGTTTAGAGATTTGAATTGGTTTAATTCAATTTAACAAAAATTGATGGGTTAAATAGGTAAATCATTGAAACCACTGACCCATTACAACTCAACTCATTTGATCCATCAACCCATTTGACTTAATAACTCATTTGATCCATCAACTCATTTGAATCAAAAATTTCAACTCATTAGGGTTCATGGGTTGAGATGAGTTTTGGTTGACCCTATGAATCTTGACTCATTTTGACACCCCTAAATGAATATATGCATAATCATATATCTTAAAAATTATTTTTAATAAATATAAAATATGTCAAAACAGTAATTTGTTTTAATGGAGAGTGTAAATTTTTTAGTGGTAAACTTTTATTTGTTATTGCAAATTTACAATAATCTCTATTGCATTATATAATATTTCATAACTTTTAACATAATATAATAAAAATATTTAATACTTTACTACACCTTTGAATACACGAAAAATCATAAACCTAGATTCTCTTTTTATTTCCTTTTTAATTATATCTCTGACATTCTGTAGAAAAAAAAAAAAAAAAAGTCCCTTGGAGCAAGAACATGAACTAGGGATGTCTCTCATCATCATCAATAATGACTTATTAATTTTGCCGCCTTTATGTAAGAGCTCTCTCTCTCTCTCTTATTTTCTTTTTTCCTCTCTCACAAAACTCTCATTTCCAATCCAATTTTTAGATTGAAAATGAGAAATCAAAGAGAGAAAAGAAATTTTCTGTAGAAAAAAAGGAACAAAACAAAAATAAAATAAGAACCTCAAATGTCATGAGTCCTTGTGGATTTGATTTGTAAAAGAAATGTATGACTCTTTTATTCTCTCTCATTGTTTTCTCCTCCTCTTGTTGCTATTGTTGTTGTTGTCTGGACTACTCTGTGAGGAATTTGTACATGACTCAACTGTTCTCTCTTCACTCTTATAGCTCAAACATGTTGCTTCCAACACTCCAATTGGACTTGCCGGTACCACTCTTACTGCTAATCGCGGCTGCTCCTGCGATAAACTAGTTCCCGGCACATTCTCCCCTGTGAGAGTTCTCATCAGATTCAAACATCTCTTCACTCTCTCCTGCTAAAGAAGGACAATGATCAAATTCTGATGAAATGTGTGTTATTGAAACAGTAAAGGTTTCGTCTTTCGCTATCATACCGAATGTTAATTAGCGAAAGCTACAAAATTCGAGTCTTTGCAACCATTTGAAACTAATATATTAGATGGGTTTACCTGTTTTACATATAGGAGATTAGACATCGCCTTTTCGTCATCAATGCATTCTGTTTCTCCTGAAATGGAGACAGACACTGCTGCTGCTGCAGCTATCTCAGAAGGCCTGAATTCTAAGAATTCAATTGCTGCATTCAATTTTATAAACAGAAACTCATTAAGCCTTCCTAAGCTAGTTGCAAACAAGGAAAGACTATTATTAGAGCTTGCTTTCGATCAATAAATGACGCACCTTTGGTGGTGTTTAAGATGAATCGCGACGATCTATAGATCAAATTCTCTGACACATGACCACTAATCTTGTCGACGAAATAATCAATGAAGGAGAATGGAGTTAGAGCTTGCAATCTCCAGTTCAATGTGTTGAGAACCAAAAGCTCCATCCTTTTTATTGTTTTGGCCTCAAAAACAAACTTGGGATCCTCCACCTGCTCATCAAAACCATTAGGAACAACAATTCAAGATTAGTTCCACTAAACCGCGATTTTCGATTATGATTATTCGTAACTGAGCTATTAAAGAACTAAATGTGTGTTGCACCTGTAAATCAACAATTTGAGGCACATCAGTTTCTTCCATTTTGGCTGCTAATGATAAGCAAGAGACAGCTAGCAACTGAACAGCCCAATCCTTGTCTTTCTACGCAATCGAAAACACACAAAACGGTCATCGATTGTCTCGAATATAAAGAAAAGCAATCCGAAAAGACGATGCAACTTACCGGCAATTCATAGGACGTTAAGAACCGATCCAAATAGTTCATGGATAGACATATGCACAGAGCTCCAAAATGGTAATGAGCACAAACCTGTGGAACAATTGGCATTAAAGACAAAAGAACTCAATTACTCAACTTAGATCAAAACCTCAATCTATTGAGAAGATCCAATAATAAATACATCAGAAGCCTCTCTAATAAACCCCAATATGAATGATCTATCAAACTGATCAAAGAACAGAACACACTTTAACTCAATCAAAAGCACAAAAAGAGACCAAACCAGATTTGAGTTATTCTCTTAAAACACAACACAGATCAAAAGAAGAAATCCCAAACCTTTAAAATCCAATCAAGAGCTTGGTTTCTAACAGACAAATCCAAATCACCAGAAAGCAATCTCTTAACATAATCAGTTCCAGGGCAGAACTCAATCTCTCTCTCCAACATCTCTCTGATTCTGTCTTCACTCAAGGACGATGAAGAAGAAGAACCCATCATCGGAATTGATCCGTTGCCGCCAAAGTTGTCGTCTTTAGTAAAAAGTTGATGACTGTAATCAATCTCGTTCGTAAATCCGCCGCCATAGTTGATATCATCGTCGTCGTTGTCAATGATCCATGACTCGGTGGTTTCACCACAAGCAAGATTCTCGGCCATGGGTTTGGTTTGGTTTTTATCTGTATTATTGATAGTCTCTTTAATCGTTTATTGGGGTGTCTCAAAGTTCTTGAGAGCGTTCGGACAGTAAAGTGAAAACTAAGGAAGCAAAAGTCATCAGAGATGGGAGATTTCTGAGGAGGTTTTGTCTCGAGGAACTGCGATTTTCATGGCAGGAGAGAAGAGAGAGGAGAGAGAGGGGCTTATACAGAGGAAAGTGGGTGAGTGTGTTTAGGGTAGAGAGGGGAGCGACCACTCCACAGACTCAAATGGAAATACAGAGAATATACACACTCAGAAAAATATGTGGAAATAAAAATTAAAATTTTAAATTTAAAATAATAATTTATTAGTAATTATCATGGGCATATAAAAAGTTAAAAAAAAAATTCTCATGCACATTTTAATAAAAAAAATAGTAAAACTAAATACGCTAACGAAAAAAAATTCTTGAAAAATAAATTGGTCATAAATGTTATAATTCTAGGAGATTACATTCCTAAAAAGCAAGATAGTTTTTGAAAAAAATATAAAAAATATAAATCAAAACCGTTAAACTTAGTTTTTACAAATTAAATATGTATCTTATTCATTAGTTCTAGTTCTTCTCTGAGATCATATATTGTTTTGATGTCGATAAAAATCACAAACCTCTCATAAAATTTTTTTGGTCTTCATGTCTTTGCTTGGCGTTTTGTAGAACTCTGAAATTGAAACATATGCTTATTTACTTCGGTTTGATGGGTTTTACTTTTAAGGTTTGAGAATCATTTGTTATTCATCGACATTGGTAACGTCGAGATATACTCAACTAAGGTTTGATTGAGAAAAAGCAAAACCTAATCAGATCTTGACCACTTCTAGTCTTGAATTCGAGTAGAATAAGCTGAAAAGGTCGCTCAACCGCTTCACATGTCACAGTAGATATAGAAAGTTGTAGATCGATCAATTGAAAGCCAAAAAAAAAAATACAAAGATAAGAAAAAAAATATTGACAAAAACTTAACCCAAAACAGCGGACCACCACCACATAACTTTAGAAATGAAATATGTCAACTCTAATCCAACCAACAGCGGAGTTGTGTAAACCTCCAACCTAATGAATAAAATTCTAAGAAATAACAAAATGTAGCCAAAACTATGCTCGCTACTTAGACGAATCATGTATAACTTCACTTATACAAAACACTTTTTATGTCATGTTTTGACATTGTTTTGAACATGTGTTCACAGCCTTCTTCAATTCCCAAACACCTAGTTATCAGACAAGTACTCCGATACAAAAGATATTTGCTATTGAATGATCTACTAACTTTAGAAATCTAACCCGCCTAGCATGAAAGTTGCTTAGTCTCAAATCAAGAATTATGTAACGTAACTCACTTTTATTAGGTTTTAACTGGGTGACGTATTCTCGGATTTCGCCCATTCTACATTGTTATGGAGCAGTCACGGTTATGAAAATTATATCCCGACTGCAAAACAACCGAAATAGGATAAATTAAATCTAAAATCGGTTAAACGGGGATTAGACTTCACGTCAACATACAAGCTGCGAATATGGTCTCAAGCCAAATCAGATTTTAGGGTTTCCTACATATTACTTAACACACAATTTTTGAAAAATTTTGTATTTGCGTTTTCAGCTATTCTCTTTCAAACTGACAACATTTATGATATTGATCATCTAAGGAGTGGAAGTGTCACTGCTGAAAAATAAAAAAAGAACTAAAACTTCATTTCATTTTTAGGTTCTTGAAATAAAACCCATTTGGAATCAAAATTATCAGTTTCATTTGGGTTTTGACAAATAAATTATAAAAACCTAGTAACAAGAAACTTATTTAACTAAAATTATATAGGTTTAACATATTTAAATATAGATTTTTTTTTTACATTTAGCTAAATATTAGTTCTTTTAATGTATTTTGGTTAGTTTGGTTCGGTTTTTCATAGTCCAGGTTCAATTCGAAATCGGTAAATTTGGTATAGATATGTATATATATATATTTCTATTTCGGTTATTTTACAGTTTGGTTCGGAGTCGAATTCGAGAATTTTGGCTCGGTTCAGAAATTTAGGCTAAGTTTGAAAATTTCGGCCAAGTTCGAAAATTTTGTCCGATTCTACTCTAGATTCATTACTAGTAAGTTTACATAAATGTGTTTTTCAATGCATAGAAGTACTTAAACCTTAAAAAAAAAAAAAGTATGATGACTAACACTATTTAAAATTTTGACATATTTATATATATATATATATATGTGCTAACTATTAGAGTTTATATTTACATGTGTTGTCTAAAACTATAGCCATGGGCATTCGGTTAAATCGGGTTAATCGGTTCGGTTTACTCGGTTTTTCAGTTTATTCAGATTTCTAAAAATCTGCCGAATTTAACCGAATAAAACTTCCGTTCGGTCGGTTCGGTTCTCGGTTTATTCGGTTCGGTTATAGGATTTAAAATCAATTCCGAAATAAACCGAATTTTATTCTAATTCGGTTTATTCGAACCGAATTAGACCAAAAATTAAAATAATGGGTTCAAATAACAAATACATTCAATTACAGACTACTAAAATAATGGGCGAAATAAAAGTAACAAGCCCAAAAATATCTAAATGAATCACAAAACAAATCTATTAGATTACAAGCCCAAATCCAATATACATTAGGGTTTCGAGAAAAGACGATGAGCGGCGACGACGGCGGACTGCGGCGGTCCAAGCCACCGAGAAGGCGAGAACCAAGACCACTGTTACAAACCGTTAATCTCTCCGCCGCTACTATCTTTCAATCCACCGGATCTGACAATATAACAAATCTCTAAACATCAAAAGACTCTATTTAACGAGTAAAACACATCAAAGACACTAACAAGCATAGATAGTACATGAAAAGTAAGTTTAACGGTAAAAAAGGAGAGCTTACAAGTTATCTGAATATCGCGAGGGATCGAAGGATGAAGAGCTTCGTCTAGGACACGATCTCAACGAAAAATAGGGAGAGTTGTAGAAGGTAAGAAGAGAGGTGGGGAAAAAAAATCTAAGAAAAATAGAAGAAGATCGAAGGAGAAAAGGAGAAAGAAAAGGATCTCTTCTTTGGCTGCGGGAAAAGAAAAAACAAAAATGACTTAGATCTAGGGTTTTTGTGTTTATATATGGTGTAGCCTTAAACCGAGAAAACCGATCGGTTACCGTCTGCCGAACCGAACCGAACCGATAATCGAAGTCCAATCATAATTTTGCCGATCGGTTATTTCTTGAGCTTGAAGTCAAACCGAAAACCGAAAGATTCGGTTCGGTCGGTTCGGTTTATTTTGGTTCAAACCGGACGCCCAGGCCAAACTACATGTTTCTGTTCTACAGATATACAGTAAAACCTCTATAAATTAATAACCTCTCTAAATTAATAAATTCTTCCGGTCCCGAGTTGGGACTAGTATAAAATATGACATAAATCGATAAATTAATAAGATAATAATTTTTTGAAAATCTCATATAAACATATGGTCCCATCGATATAATAAATTAATAATTATATAAACTTATCAATATATATATATATATGATATAAATTTATATATGTCATATTTGAATTACTATGATATATATTTAAAATATTCTATGTAAAAAATTTAATAAAATATGACTCTATTATTCGAAAAAGTTTTGTTGTTTTTTTAAACTTAACAATTGTTTCTCTACTTGTAATTAGTTTTTAAAAGATATTACTTATAAAGGAAAAAATTATTTTTAGATAGAAATATTTTTTAAAAATTGCAAAATTAGTAAAATCTCTCTATAAATTAATAAAATTTGCTAGTCCCAACATTATTAATTTATAGAGGTTTTACCGTATGTGTTTGACCACTAGATCATAATGGATCTAGTGGACTTTGGGTAAGAATCACGCTTGTTCCATTTTATATAAAAACACAAAAAGGTCCAAAATATTTTCTGGCACATTTTGAACTCTATGGTTCGAAAGTTGTAAGCTATTTCATATTTGTGCGTAAGCCTTTGGATTTTTGTGATCCAAGCATATACTCCCTTCTATTTATTTGAGCAATCATGATTAATTGCCTATACTAATCTCTTAGCTGGCTATGACCTAAACTACCCAAAATGCCTCTGTTTTTTTCCCTTTAGTTTACATTTTCCATCTAGCATCGCAGCCACCAGTCAAAGACTTATCAACACATTAATTATGCCAAGATTTGGAGCCTAATGGTCTTTGGAGAAATTAGAAAAAGATCTTTTTGATCAAAAATGTCTATCTTATACCTTTTCTAATAAGATTTGGTCAACTAGATTTTATAATGATGGAATATAGTCCAAAACTTCTAATTCAAAAAGAGTCTTTCTATTTACCCAAAAAAGATATTTTACATAAATCAGAAAATAAATTTTAGAAAACCCTCTTCTCCTTTGTTCTTCACGACACAACCTTTGTTCTTCACGACGCAACCCTTGTTTTACTAAGTATAGTTTTACTAATTGTTTGTGCCATTTTGAATTTGAGTTTACAACCCTCGTTTCTATCTAATTGTGGTATGAGAACTAAAAATGTGTCACAGAATGGACTAATACAACATTGACATCTTTGGTTTTATATAGATTAGTTAAAAATGTCTTGATTTCTTAGGATAGGTCCGGCTCACGTCTTTGACCATATAGATCTGGCTGATCTAACTTAATTGCGAACATACCTAGTTTTATATGAATCGATTTTTTTTTAATACGTTTTTAATCTTTTCTATTAATTCTAAAATTTTAAGAATATGAATTCTAATTTTCGTAGAACGTAAACAAAAAATATATTATCAAGATTTTCCTTTTTTTGTAGAAATATATTCGATTTCCCTAATTTTTAGATTTAGCTTTCTTATTTTTTCTACTTGATTCCTATCTTTATGGAAATTTATTTTCTAATTTTAGCGGAACATATATTCTAACTTGTAGAGAACATAGGTAAAGTGTAGAACATATATTCTATAAATCGTAGAACATAGAGTAATCCGTATAATATATGTTCTAAATTTCGTAGAAATATAGTAAACGGTAGAATATGTATTCTAAATTTCATAGAACATATCAACTTTAGAATTCTGAAATTTTTAGAACATATGTCAATTCTAAAATACGTAGAACATGTATAATGTCTAGAATACATATTCTACATTTACACTAACAATTTTTAACTATCTAAAAAATTACCAATTTTTAACGAAATCACAATAATATAGGTCGTGGATCTAAGATAGGTCAGAAGGAATTGTCCGTTGTAAAATCGTCTATGTAACAGTTCTCATAATTTACAATAAATAATAAATTCTGATGTTTAAAAAAAAACACGCTATAACCTTCTTGATAATTATTATTATTAATTTTTTTTTGTCAAGGAGCCGGCTTGATAATTCATCTTGTAAAATCGCAATACAAATTTCATCATTATGTCCTTTATCCGACTGAGAAACTGTATCCAACAAATTAAAATTCAGTTGAATTTTTTGTTTATGCCTACCACACCCATGACCCATATTCGAATTGATTGATCTACAGAATTCAGTCCAATCAGAGCCCATACATAATATATGGGCCTTTAAAAACCCAATAAGAAGTAGCTCAGAGCCCATCAACTAAAACCCTAAAGTCTTCCTCTATAAAATAACTCATCTTGTAGAAAACGAATGAGATCCGGCGAAAATTGAAAAACCCTAAATTTCCTCCGCTTCTCGCTTTGTGATTCACTCTTTTTTTTTTCTATTGTATGCGGGTTTCATAACCCTAGTCTCCATTAGTATATGTAGAGGTAAATCTTTAGTTGTTTCAGATTCTGTCTCTATCTTGTAGGGAATGTTAGAGATTAGCCCTGCTCTAGTGTTTTAATCTCGTGTTCTGTGTTCAATAATGAAGAAATTTTGTGAGTTTTCTTACTTAGTTATGGTTGCAATGATGAGATCTTATAATGAAATTGAAAGTGTTTACACTTAATGAACGGTCGACAAAAATAGTCGAACCTGAGCGGTTAGCTGAGCAACCATTTATATTTATCTAATTTTAAGACAAAGATCTGTTACTATGCTTAGTTCTATGTCTGTTTTTTTTTTGTTGCTATGATGAGAAAAAATATTTATAGAAAGCATTATTTTGATGCTTAATGAGTCAGCGATTATAATGTCGATCTGAGCGGTTAACTGAGCAACTTGAAAAACTATCACAGCCTCTTATTTCATTTATGTTTGGTGAATTTGTCTTTATATTTTGTGAACTTTTTTGGTGAATTTTGCAATTGTTATAGCTAATTGATTAGGAGTGACCAATCCCGGTCTAGTGATTATAAACATATGAGAGTAATATAGCTGAATATTTGGAAGTATTTCATTAAGTCAGTTGAGTTTTCATTGATTCATTACATTTAAGATTCTCTGCTATATTGTTGCACAATATGTTGTATGGCCAGTAATAATGTTGAAGAAAGACATGTTAACACTTTGATTGTGGAGTGTGGACAGGTCCACTACCAAAGACGTCGGCATTTCTCTTGAGACAGGAACTATCCACATCAAAAAAAAATTGAGTTATTTTGTTAGTGACTGGTTGTTGGGTTTGATTTTGATAGAAATATTTGGTTTGTAACATTTTGGAAGATTCCATTGCAATGTTTTATTCTGATCTTGTGTGTTTGTATTGTCCATTAGCTTTTCTTATTCTTTTTCATATATCTTCTAAAGTTTTACTTTCAAACAAACAAAAGGCAATGAACAATGGTCTATAAATGATTAGCTGGAGGTTATGTAATACACTACAGATCAAAGACTAGAAAGAAATCATCAACTCGATCCAAAAGAGACCAACTTGGGCATTACCAGTCACTTGTTGGTCCAAAAAAAGATTAAGATCTGCGTGGTACCCATATTTTCTCACGGGACAAATTTGACCAAACAAGTTATGAAATTAAGAAATCTTGGAGAAATTGAAGAATTCAATAGGACGAGCAGAGCATTTGAACCCAATACAGAGAACAAGATGAAATGTCAATGTTTTTATTATACACACAACCCAAAGACTCTTCAGAGAGTTAAAGACAGAAAAAACAAGGGATCATTTAAATAAAAGTGTAGCTAGCTACTTTCGTTCTTGCGCTACTTACTCCTTATTGTAATCAGATTGTGAGCTTCCGGTTTGGTCGATAGGTTTTCTTCCATCTACTAGGCTTTTCCAAAGCCATAATGAGCTTACAAAGTGAAGCTCATTTTGTGATGCGACATCATAATAAGAACCTGCTAAGAGAATGTTGTAACCTCTACATTGCAAAATTCGAAGAACCCTGAGGAAACCCTCCTCTTGTAAGATGTTTTTGGAGATAACCATCACATTTGGCACTAGTACAGGGTAATCTGAAGGATTGTCCAATGTCCAGAAAAGAACGTCGCTCATCATCCTATAAACTCTCGCACATTTATCTCCTTCGGGTACAACAATGGTTCCGGCAAGTAGAAACTCATCCCGGATCTTGTTCTTCTCACCATAAGCCTTAATTTCCACAATACCACGATAACCCTTTTTCGCAATAGCTGATTTGATTTTCTGATAAACCCAATCAGGATCGTGACCATCAGGGACCTGGAAATCCTCGACGTCCCAGAAAACGCATGTGTGAGCAGAGATCTTACGCTTCTTACTGGATAAATCTCTGCTCATAATTTCGACGGAGATTACTTGCTAAGAGAGTGATAATGGAGCGGAAACTAGAGACAACAAGAAGAGGACACCGAAGAAACAGAGGTTTTGATGAAGCGGACGAAGCTTGTTTGAGAACTGCCTCTTTACAAGGCATTAGAGGACTATTTATATGAAAGCTTAGCTTCTAGCTCCTAACGTAATTAGGAAAACGGAAAACCTAAATCAAATAAAAGTAAAATCCAAGATAAACAGAAAACTGCAGAGAAAGGGAAAAGCAACCAAGAAAAAATTAGAAAACGTTTAACCTTTGTGTGACACGATAAGGATGCTGCATCAGAGAGACACTACTGTTAGGGTTATTTAAGAGCATGATTAACAGTGGGTTCTTAGACAAATCTTAACTCAATCTTAGAATTAAAATAAATGAGAAAGTATGTTTTAAACTAAGGAACGTTCCTTAGTTAAGAGCTGAAATTAAACTTAAGAGGCGTCCACGTGTCGTCGGCTTATGAGTGGGTTGTCTTTCTCTCTCTCTCATTGTTAAGAGCTGAAATTAAACTTAAGAGCTGAAATTAAACTTAAGAAACGATCGTTGTTTCGATTTCGAATTGGGTTTCTGGAATCAAATCCACAAATTTTAGGGTTTCTACCGATAATAAACATCAAATTTCTCCCATTTCATCTGTGTTGTTATGGATTCAGATCGGATTTATTTGGTTTTCTTTGTGTATCAGATCTTAATTTTAATTTTGACTGTGGAAACCCCTAATTTTTGTAAAATGGTGATTTATTAGCGAGTATGTGAATCGCCATTTGATTTTCTTTCGTTGTTCTTGCGTGTTTGATTTCTAGTAATCCTTTGGTTCCTACTATCAACTAACCATTTACTTTCTAAATGCTAATCTCTGCTAGAGAGTTTGTCTTTCATATTTAGGTAGCCTTTAGTTTTTCTTTTAGGTTGTGGCATAATTAGCTTTGGGTTTTAATTTTGATGATCAATTACATTGCAATGTTGTACATAGTTTCTTGTCAATCTCTTTGTATCTGTTATTCATTGTATAGAAACAAGCCACAAGATAAGATGAAAGACATGTTCGGATTTTGAGCTGTGTGTAACGTCTAGGGGCGAGTGGCTTCGCCAAAGTATGAGAATCTTTGAAGTTTAAGATACTGAAACTGTGAACTTCATGTTAGCTTTAGAAGGTTTTAATTGGTAAAGCAAAGATTTTTGCTTTTCTTGATTGGTGTAATGTCTTTGTTGAATGGAATTATGAGAATGTGTAATGTATATTGTTGATAGGCCTCAGCGAAGCGGTTCAGAGTCACGGGTAGGGGAAGATTGTGAGGAGGAGATCCGGAAAGCAGCATTTGTTAGCTAAGAAGAACAACAAGAGGAAATTGCGTTTATCGAAAATGGTTGGTTTTCTTTAACAAGTATCTATTTCTTCAATCTTGTTTCTGTTTGCAAACTACATTCTTTTTCCCTTTAGGTTCATTGTTTGATTCTGCATATCGTGATGGATATATAGTTTTGTATGTGTGTGATATGCATTCATCTCTTTGAAGCTTTAGTGATTAACTGTGAGGTGACTCGCGTTGATGTTTCAGCACGAGGTGTGATATGGTTGGACAAAAACGAGCTCTTAGCAATAATGATGATAGGGCAGATGCAAAAAACTCAAGCTAGATATATAATCTGAGACTTGGCTGCTTCAGTTCTTGGTAGTAAATGCACGGTTTTGTTTTGTTTTGTTTGTCAAAACACACATTTCGAACTTCAAATCTCATCTTTCTTTGTGCATTTGACTCCCTGCACCTAGACATTACCATGACATCGAGATTCACTGCATCGGCTTCCATTAGAAATGTGATTTAGGGAGACATCTATTATCATTAACTAGTAGAAACAGGAAAGTAAAAACTTATGGCATCAATACGATGATCACAAGTTCAAGTTATTTCTTGTTTTGGCTATGTTCATTAGCAACTTCACTGCTCTGTTCTTTTCCCTCTTCTTTCTTACATGTTTAGCTTTGTATTCTGCTTCCATAATGCAGACCGAAGTGAACCGGAGCTCTATGACAATGTGATCGGAGCTCTACCATACTTGAAAGTCAATCGAAAGGCGATTTAAGCAGAGTAGGCTTGATCCTTTTCTTACATGCAATTCTCATTTTGTAATCTAAATTTGTGGTAATATCCTTTTGTATTGTGATATAATTTGGTCAATGAGTTGATTTTGTTTCATATTTGTGTCTTCTTTTTCTCGTCTCGCATGACAAAAACTATTCTAGGTGTAACATATACATCATCAACGATTATTAAATTTTCTATAATTATAATTTTAATTTGCAACGATTATTAAATTTTTTATAATTATAAATTTAATTTGCAACAATTATTAAATTTTCTATAACTATAAATTTTATTTTTATATTAATATTTTTTTTCTAACAACCACATGTTAAAGAGCCTACCATTAATCACACAAAAATCTTAACTCAAAAATACTATCTCTTAACTATCACTTTTACAAATATATTACTTAAATATTGCTAAGAGGTATTTTTAAGATACTATGGATAATCATGCCCTTAAGATCTCTCGAGTCTCCAACACAAGCCCTGACCTTATACGCCGTCGTTTCAACAAGAAAAGTCTACACCCTAAGATCAGAGCTCCCACATATACCAACCGTTCGATCTGTTTTTTATTAGTCACGTGTCAGCATCCTCACGGTTTGTTTATGAAGTCTTACTCAGCTTCGCAAGTCGCAACACCATCCTCTAGGCCTGGACAAAATACCCGGAACCGAATACCCGAACCGAAAAACCCGAACAATACCCGAACCCAATTTTTAAAAATACCCGAATGGGTCCTAACTTCCTACCCGAAAAAAACCCGAACCGAATCCAATACCCGAATGTACCCGAATACAAATATACACTTAAAAATATTAGTTATATTTATATTTATAATACCCGAAATACCTAAAATTACAATCATAAATCCGAATATATTAGGTATTTTAAATATTTTTGGTTATATTTGGGTAAAGAGTAACCAATGTATTTTCGAGAAATCGGGTATTTCGGTTAGATTTGGGTATATATGAGTTAAAAACCCGAACCCGACCCGAACCCGAAAATATTTCGGGTATTTTTGGTTATTTTCGGATATTTTACTTTTTTTTATTAAAATACCCGAACCGACCCGAACCCGAACCGAACCCGAACCAAATTTTTAGAATACCCGAATGGGTCTTGACCCCCTACCCGAATAGATCCGATACCCGAAAAAAAAAACCGAACCCGAACGGGTACCCGAATGCCCAGGCCTACCATCCTCATCAAGTAATATATTCACATATACGATCGCCCTTGGGAAAGCAGTGTGAAAGATAAGCTAAAAGCAGTTGCAATCTCCTCCGCTATATTCATTTTTGATTTCCACGACACTAGCATTTTTAGATCTATTAAAGAATATTGTTTCTTTTCACCATGCATGAGCGGAGAGATTCAAACTCAAGACAACATCCCACCAATTTCATGTGACTACTATATCCATCAATGAGATCGCAATGTCACGAGCACATTCGACAAAGTTTCCAACTAAGGCTTTCTCTGTTTTTTCTTTCTTCTTTTTTTTTGTTTGTCATTGTTCCATTGGTTCTTTGCTACAATTTAGGAGACTAGAAACAAAACTAAAATTCTGTTTGGTAATACTAAAAAAAAAAAAACTGCAAAATAAATGATTTAGACTCTAACCCAAAAAAAAAAAAATTAAAAACAGAGGAATGACTAACTTCAATTTCTGTAGACTATATAAAAAAAGAGAGAGATAGATCCCTAATTAGTAGATGTCAAACAAACCTTGAATAAAGCCTGGCATTAGAAGAAATGCATAACATCCAAGTGCCATAAATCTTGTAATCCATCTACAACCTACCCTGAATAATAGTTTGTGATCAGTGATCAATCAAATCAATAATCTTGGAAACCAAAGATCATCCCTTTTTATGAGCCAATGTCGTTGGATTCAGCAAATGTAACAGATAACGGATCTAAAATAGGAAATAGATAGATACCCAAGATAGCTAAGACCATGTACATAGGTGATATATTTGGAGTATTAGGAGCCCAAAAACAATTTTTTAATGGATCAGACAATACATTTGGGCCTGATCTGTATCAGTGCAGTGATACTTTTGATATCCAATATCGTGTGACGTGGCGGCTCCTGATTCGTCTGTGAAACGCGTTTTTCCCTGAAAGCAGAAAAAAAAAATCATTTTCTTCTCTCCTCTCCTCTCTCGGGAGAAAACCTAGAAACCTTCCGACGATTTTCGATTTCTCCTCTCCTCCGCCGATTCTTCCTTCCCGATCTTGCCTTCACTCCCTCCGTTTCTCCTCCGGCTTCATCTCTTCGATCTTGTGTGTTTGTATTGTCCATTAGCTTTTCTTATTCTTTTTCATATATTTTCTAAGAGTTTTAGTTATATAAATTTCAAAGAATCTTGGTAAAATGATAAATTTATTTAGTATCCATTATTCCCATTTATCACATTCGAGTTGATAAATCTATGATTATGATGTATTATAAATCATTGTTAATATAATAAAACTCAAATTTAAATTAAAAGTTTTAAAACAATTTATGGGTTGTTAAATCAAATGATCGAACTGGGTAACATGATCAAACTTGTGTATCATGTTCATAAGCTTTATGTGGTTTGCTAGAACCTAGAAGGTTTCGTAACCGATCCAAAAAGTTGGTGTGGTTTATTCTTCTTTCCCAATTTGGTGTATTAGTTCTTTATCGTCGTTACTTCAGATAATGAAACATTGCTCCAACGGAACCAGAGAAGGCGACTGGTAAGGCGATTAGGGTTTCTGAAGCTTTTCCATCACGCTAGGGTTTAGGCGGCGGCCACCACCGGTGGATCCGATGTCTGAGCCGGTAAGCTCCGTGTCTCCTCCGGGAGATTCCTCTCCTGTTCAATCCAAGCAACTTTCGTATGCAGCAGCAGTGAATAAGCGTCCGTCACTTAAAAAACATGAGTTTCAAGTCAGTTTGGTTGATGGTATTCCAACGATTGAGGTTCCTTCAGCAGTTATCAGTGATTCCGTTCCCCTATGGGAAGATTTTCTTGTTGGTAGATTTCCATCTACTGCTCCCCACGTTGCTAAGATCCATGTTATTGTTAACAAAATTTGGTCTCTTGGAGATAAAACAGTCCGAATCGATGTGTATGAGAATAACACCACTTCAGTCAAGTTCCGAATTCGAGATCAAGCAACCAGATTGAGAGTACTGCGTAGGGGTATGTGGAATATTGCAGGGCTTCCCATGATCCTTGCAAAATGGTCTCCAATCCCAGAAGAAGCTCAGCCTGAAGTCTCGACAATGCCTTTATGGGTCACTTTGAAAAATGTTCCTCACTCGATGTATTCATGGGAGGGTCTCGGGTTTATTTCTAGTCCAATAGGAGATCCCATTCGACTTCATCCGGAAACAGAATTATGTAGCAACTTTGAAGAGGCAAAGGTGTTCGTTGAAGTAAACTTAACAAAGTCTCTCCCACAAAAATTCTGCTTCAAGTTGAATCAAGTGGAGGAAGTCACCGTGGAATTTGTTTATCCTTGGCTCCCTCCTCGATGCTTAAGGTGCAGCAAATGGGGCCACACAGAGGATGTTTGTGTGACCAAAAAAGCGTCTCCCGTGAAGGTAAAGGCAGATGACTTAGAAGAAGGTGAGCTGGTAGCAGATAATGATTCTGAAAAAACAGAGACCTCTGTTCCAGTTGAGGTGCAAGAGGTGCAAACACCTACGTTGGCCGTATCGAATGCAGTGCAGCAAAACAGAGCCGCTGAAACACATGAGGAGCAAGATAATATAACACAAGGTGCTGGTAAGGATGGTTGGTCCTTAGTTTCCCCAGGGAAAGGCTGTAAGAGTAATGAGAAGGTTCAAAGCTCACTAGCTTATGGTCAAGTTACTATTCTCTCTGCTTCTCGATTCTCTGTTCTAGATAATATTGATGAGCCCAAGCTAGACGATGCAGTCATCGAAGGGGAAGTGGCAGGAGGTAAGGAAAGTATAGACAACAATATCGAGAATGATGTTAACACTCATGCAAGTTCGACGCAGGCCATCACAGAAGTAGAGAAAGCAAGCTCGGTCCGAGCTACCCGTCAAACAAAGAATTTGCAGAAAGCTACATCGGAATCTTTTTCTCAACAAGCTAAGGCTCGCCCTAGCGTATCGAGCAAAAGAACCTCCAAAAAACATCATTAATGTCTTGCTTTTTCTGGAATGTGCGCGGTTTCAATAAATCATCAAAACATTCCGTAGTAAGTGACTGGTTACATGAAGAAAATTTGCAATTTGGGTGTCTTTTGGAAACGCGAGTACAAGAAACCAGGGCTTCTCGTATTCTGTCCTCTGTTTTTCGAGATTGGTCTTCTATTACTAATTACGAATTCAATAGTTTGGGCCGCATATGGGTAGTTTGGAGAAATAATGTTCGAGTCACTCCGGTCTACAAGAGTGGTCAGCTTGTAACATGTTCAGTTTTGATGGATGGTGCCTCAGAGGAGATTTTTGTCTCTTTTGTTTATGCAGCTAACCTACCAGAGGATAGGAAAGAGCTGTGGGAAGATCTTAAATATCATTTTGATACTCCACTGATTCAGAATAAACCTTGGCTCATCATGGGAGATTTCAATGAAATTCTCGACGGTGAAGAGCATTCAAACTATGAGAACTCTCCTTCTATTTCTTATGGGATGCGGGATTTTCAAGCAATGGTGAGGTATTGTTCTCTTGTGGACATGAGCTCTCACGGCCCTCAGTTCACTTGGTGTAACAAGCGGGAGGAAGAGCTGATATGCAAAAAATTGGATCGTGTTTTGGTTAATGAGGAGTGGACTCGTTTATTTCCTGAATCCTATAGTGTGTTTGAACCTGGCGGTTGTTCGGATCATCTTCGATGTCGGATTAAAATAGCAGCAGCTACTAGTCGTCCGCGTGGTCCTTTCAAATTTTCAAATGTCATCGCATCATTGCCGGATTTCCTGCCTACAGTTCAAGAGTTCTGGGATAGTACAAGTGTTCTTTATCATTCCACCTCTGCTATTTTCAGATTTTCTAAAAAACTTAAGGCCCTTAAGCCAATTTTGCGGTCTTTGGGACGTAGAAAGCTTCACCAGCTGTCGACTAGAGTTGATGCAGCATATGAGGTTCTATGTGACAAGCAACAAGCCACACTTGAAAATCCTACTTCGGCTTTGATGGAGGAGGAAGCCGAGGCTTATAAGATATGGGATCACGTATCAGTACTTGAAGAAGGTTTTCTGAAACAGAAATCAAAGCTTCATTGGCTTAATGTGGGAGATAGAAATAACAAGTATTTTCACAATGCAGTCAAAGCAAGATTGGCCAAGAATGCTATTAGAGAGATAACATGCCAAGACGGGTCTGTAGCTACAACACAAGAAGATCTTAAGACTGAAGCTGTGCGGTTCTTTGAGGAGTTTTTATCACACGAACCAGCGGACTATGAGGGTGTCCCTGCGGACCAGATTGAAGAATTGTTGGATTTTCGATGTTCTTTATCAGAACAGGACACGTTGGTGAGTCCTGTTACAGAGGAAGAGATTCGAACTGTGTTGTTCAAGATGCCGGGAAATAAAGCCCCTGGTCCTGATGGTTACACGGCTGAGTTCTTCAAGTTAACATGGCCTATCCTGGGGAAAGACTTTGTCACTGCAATTCAGTCTTTTTTCATGATGACTTTCTTGCCTAAAGGAGTTAATACCACAATTCTGGCCCTTATTCCAAAAAAGAATGAAGCTATAGAGATGAAAGATTATCGTCCCATATCATGCTGCAATGTGATGTATAAGGTAATATCGAAAATTCTTGCTAACAGATTGAAGAAAATTCTCCCAGCATCAATAGCCCCAAACCAGTCTGCGTTTATTAAGGATCGTCTTATGATGGAAAATCTGTTGTTAGCTTCAGAATTAGTCAAGGATTACCATAAAGCTTCAGTCTCTAAAAGGTGTGCTGTTAAGATCGACATATCAAAGGCTTTTGATACGGTGCAATGGCCTTTCTTGTTGACGGCTCTAAGAGCCATGAATCTTCCGGAAAGTTTTATTCGCTGGATTGAGCTCTGTATTGGCACTGCTTCGTTCTCTGTTCAAGTCAATGGGGAGTTGGCTGGGTTTTTTCAAAGCAAAAGGGGTTTAAGACAAGGATGCTCTCTTTCTCCATATCTTTTCGTCATTTGCATGAACGCTCTCTCTAGAATGCTGGATAAAGCGGCAGTGGATCAGAAAATTGGTTACCATCCTCGGTGTAAAAGCATGGGACTAACTCACTTGTGCTTTGCGGATGATATTTTGGTTTTTTCAGATGGGAGTGTACGATCAATAGCGGGTATTCTACAAGTTTTTAATAAGTTTGCAGATGCCTCGGGACTCAGAATCAGCCTAGAGAAATCAACCCTCTTCATGGCTGGTTTCTCATCTACTCATAAAGAAGATATACTCCAGCGTTTTCCATTTGAAATGGGAACTCTTCCAGTGCGGTATCTCGGTCTCCCTCTTCTCACTAAAAGTATGACTCGCTCCGATTATCTACCCCTCATTGAGAAAATAAGAAATCGCATCACCTCTTGGACGGGTCGGTTCTTATCTTTCGCGGGTAGACTACAACTGATCAAATCTGTCCTATCAAGCATCACTAACTTTTGGCTCTCAGCTTTTAGGCTGCCAAGTAAGTGTATTAAAGATCTTGAAAGTCTTTTCTCTGCTTTTTTGTGGTCTGGTGTAGAACTCAACTCAAGGAAGGCAAAAGTGGCATGGTTGGATGTTTGTAAGCCAATTAAGGAAGGTGGGCTGGGACTAAGACCGATATCAGAAGCAAACACGGTGAGTATTTTGAAACTTGTTTGGCGGCTTGTCTCCGCTAAGGACTCTCTTTGGGTCAGCTGGATTCACACAAATTTGTTACGAAATGGGTCCTTTTGGTCAGTTCGACAAACAAGTACTTCAGGTTCATGGATGTGGAGGAAAATATTGAAATATCGGGATAAAGCCAAACCTCTACATAAGATGGAGGTAAGGTCAGGTCTGGCTACTTCCTTTTGGCATGATAATTGGTGTTCTCTTGGAAGATTGGCTGATGTTTTAGGTCCCCGGGGAAGTATCGATATGGGTATTGCCACGAACTGCTCAGTTGCTGCAGCCCTCTCAAATCACCGCCGACGCAGACATCGATATGAAATGCTAAACCGAGTTGAGGATGAGTTGGATTCCCTCCGATCACATTCTCTAGCGGGTAAGGATATTTCACTATGGAAAAGGAACAATGGCTCTTTCAAGGGAACGTTCAGTTCAAAGGACACTTGGTATACGATACGAGACACTAATCCGGTGTGTGAATGGTATAAGGGTGTATGGTTCCCCCACTCAACGCCTAAGTACTCATTCATCACTTGGATCGCCATTCGTAATCGTTTAGCTACGGGAGATAGACTGTTACAGTGGAATGCTGCAGCAAATGGTGCTTGTAATTTGTGTGATGGGAACATAGAAACAAGAGAACACCTCTTTTTCTCCTGTCCGTATTCGTCTCACGTCTGGTCAGCCCTCACACGAGACATGCTTGGGCAACACTACACAACACGATGGGAAACTCTGCTTCCTTTACTCACGGCTCCATCTACCTCAAAGCTACATTTGTTTGTTTTGAGATATGTGTTTCAGATATCTATCCACAGTCTATGGCGAGAACGGAATGGGAGACGACACGGCGAGTCACCAACCCCAGCATCCATGCTAGCAAAACTGATCGACAAGAACGTTCGTAACCGGTTGAGCACCTTAATTACGACGGGCTCACCCACTTATGAAGGCGGACTGCGATATTGGTTCCAAACCCATAGTCGCTAGTTTTCCCTTCCTTATAATCTCTCTAAAAAAACTCAGATTTTTTCAGTTTGATGTTGCATTTATTGTAAAACCGTCTTTTTTTGGTGAATAAATTTTACATTCATACAAAAAAAAAAAGAGATGAGCGAAACTAAACGCAAAAGATTTGAAAGAATCGTTTATGTCCGTAAGAAGATAACAAGCCATAACAACGCAACGAATGATAGGAACGAATCAGATTCTGATGACTTAAAAAGAGAATTAGGTTTGAGTCGGTAAACGTGTGGAAAGTGCGTTCTCGTAGACGCGTTTTTAATTTATGATGTTGAAGAAAGATTCTTCATAGTAACGTATGTGTAAAACTAAAGCATCTCAAAAACACGTGGTTGCTTGTTACTGATTCTTGATTTGTCTTTTTTTTTTTTAATGAACTTTTTTGGTTGACATGATGTAATCTTAACGTTTTGCGAAATTTCATTGTCTACAAATTGATTACATGTCAATTATTGATCTTTGATGATGGGAAATATATAGTTAGGAAAGGTTCTTCAAAATTAATCTATAGAGTTATTTGAACATGTCCAAAGTTTCATCTCTTTAAAGAATAGGTATTCATAAATCATTGATCTTGTCTTTCTATATAGTATATAACATTTAGTGAAGACATATATAACATGATTTAAAAAAAAAAAAAAAAACCTCAACCCCATATTCAAACTGCACTATATATTTCAAATCGGTGGTTTCTTTGATTTCTGGTTGGTTAGGAGTATTCAAAATAAAAGGTTTATATGGTTTTTGTTTTGGTTTGGATTCGAATTTCAGTCAAAATTATCTTTAATTTTCAATACAATCAACTGATCAAGTTTAGTTTTTAGTTTTTTTTTTCAGATTCAGTTCAGATTTAAATCCGGTCTGTATATGGGAAAAAAACATGTAAACCATATTAAAATATAGTTCAATTTTCGTATCAATTGTTTTGTATTCGTTTTGGATCAACTCATATAGATTGATCCAGACGGAACAGATCTACTCCCATCTTGGATAATAGGTTTGGGCGGAGATAAAATTCGTCTATAAATACTAAATATTGTGTATAAACATCTAGACTTCGTATAAACGATCTAAAAACATATGTAAGTTGTCTGTGTAATTTTGTAAAATTAGATGGTCTAATGCTTGCTTGAACATTGATTATTTTGAATTTTCAGCTATGGTAAACGATTAAATTTTGAATTAAAAAGCATCCTTGAAGGAAAAAAGAAAAGAATATTACATAGTTCAAACTTAGCATAAATGGATCTAAATAATTGATGCGAAATTAGGTGATGTAGTGCTTTCTTTTCTTGAAAATTGATTACCGAAGATTTTTTTTTATCAAGATCTTCAATCTTTTGAGAAAATCTTTGTAAAGAATCATCCTTTTTTGACTAATAAAAAGCTTTTCAAGAAAAAGAAAAGAATATTTTGACCAAAAAAAAAAAAAAAAAAAGAAAAAGAAAAGAATATATATTACATAGTTCAAAATTAACATAAACGAATCTAAATATTTCACTGCCTTGAATAATGAATCAAATGAACTGTTTCTTTCGTTCTCTCTTCTCAAGTCATGAGAAGAAATTTCATATCATAGATCTATTCGAACAAATGGAAAACAATTTAAAACTACTCGATTAATCAAATGAAAATTATAACCCAAAGAAAAAAAAAAGCTTATTGTCGCCAACATCATTCATCATCGTCTTCTTCAATAATTCAACTCTTGTTATTCAAAAGTCATAGTCCTTGAACAACTTGCGGACTTGTTCAAGCGTAACAAACAAAACCACCGTGAACGGTGCTTGTCTCGAAACCGTCGGGACAAAACCTTTATATAAAGCCATAATCCCTTCCGCTTTCACCGTTTTCAAAGCACAATCAACCGCTCCTTTATACGGCGGCGCAACTCCAGCCTCCACCTTCATATTCATCACTCTCGTCTTGATCACATCAACCGGATTCGAAGCAACGGACGCTACAAACCCAGCAGCGAAACTCGCCAAAACATGAGTCCCAAGCCCATCTTCCAACAACCCTTTCTCCAAAATCGTCTCTTTAACCGAATCATACGAAGCTAACTGCGATGACGTCACAAGCATTGCTCTGTTTATCGTCAAAGACGATCCTCTCCACAAAGACGTAACGCCTTCACCGCGAATCATTTGCGTGATCGCGTCTAAAACGCTTTTATAGTTTCTTCTCTCAGCCAACGTTAAACGACCATCGGCTTGCATTCTAACCATCGCCACGTCAGCAGGATTCCCAACGGCGGCTCCGATTGCTCCGGCGATGGCTCCGGCACCAATTTTTTTTGTTAAAGGCATCGTTTTTGTTTCCGGGTCGGTCCATTTTCCTTTGAGGATATCATATAAACCCATACGAGTCGTTGAATACAGAGTTTGACGAAGAACGGTGGCGGAGACGCCGGAAAACAGAGCACGCAAGCCTTCGTCACGGATTAAACGAGATCCGACTCCGATTACACCGACGCGTAGAGGAGGCGCGTTGACGGTGGTCGAAGTTTGAAAGGCAAGAGCTGGTCGGAGATTGGTCTGAATCGGAGCTGATTCGCCTTGAAGTTGCATTCGGACCTTGATTAGATCAAGCGGGTGGGTCGAACAACCCGCAACAATTGAAGCGATACCTCCTTCAGCAAAACCCTTGAGACCCATTTTCGAATTTGATTCTCAGAGAAATCGAAAATCGAAATCAGTAAAATAAAAAAGATCCCTTTTTTCCGGGAAAATCGGCGAGAAAATTGAACGAAACAGAGAGAAAGTTAAAAAAAAAAGGTTAGATTTTTATTTTTGGGTTGTGTTTATTTTTCTTAGAGAGACCAGTTAGAATTAGAGCTGATCTCACTGGAGATTAAGAGATGAGAATGGAGACCAAAAGCTATAGAAGAAGAATGAGGAATCAGAGGTCTTTGAGACATAAGCTGTTCAAGACAGAGTTTTTTTTAGGTTTGTGTATTAATGGTTCTTTTAGAGAAAGAGAGAGAGAGAGAGAAGATGAGATTGTTCTGAGGTTGAAGACGAAGTGTTTAAATAAGGGAAGAGAGAGGAAACGCGGAGACTTGTTTGCTATTTTGCGCCGAAGGAAAGACAAAATCATCTTCCTATAAAATTTTGTTAGTATCGTCCGACTTTCCTTTTTTTTATTTTTGATATATTCACTTAAATCATTTTTGACCAAATATATGGAAACTCGTTTTTAATAACGTAATTATTCAAGGAAATTGTTTAATAAAGCTCCAAAGTAAAAGGAAACAAAAGGAATTTGAATATTAAACTTTATAATTAAAGTAGTAAAGTATATTGAATTAATAAATTTGTAATTTATGTGTTTTAGTTTTAGTTGTATACAAAACTATTCACAAAAACTTTTGTTGAATAATAAAATACAAAAATATAATAAGTAATTTTTTTTAATTTATCTAACAAATTTTAAAAATATAATTAAACTAGAGTAACCTCGTTCATGTACTACTATATATTTTGGTGTTTAAAAACAAATCATATCTATTCAGCTTAAAAATGTTATCCGGCTTCTATAGATTCGCTATTTCATAATCATAATTAAGTTATTTCGCTATTTAAGTGTTCATACGACGAACCAGTTAAGTCCTATATTCACCCAAACACAACTATATTTTCGTCCCAAATAGCAATTTTAAAAGTCACTACTCTTGCAAATTTGTAAGCTTTATTTCATATTGCAAAGACATGCTTATTTGGGCCTCATTGGAAAGTTGGAAACCATCACCCCGAGAGTTCTCATGCTTCAAGAGTTCTATGTATTCTTATCCTCATGCAACATGCATGTACCAGAAATTTAACTATTTTAGCTTTTCTTAATGAGAAAACCTCATATTCATGGCTACATCTTTTTACATTAGTAACAAAAATTTACTAAATTGAAAAATCAATTCTGACGCCAAAAAACCCAAAATGAATGGTAGTTGGTTTAGGCATCATTTTCCCCCACTTGAATTATTTTCCACCCCACCACATGGGATGCTTTCTTTGTTCTTCCTTCCATGTTTGATTATTCCGTGAAGAATAATAGATTCCTTTTCTCATCAATTGTTTGAAATTTATTTCATGAGATTATGATTCTGGTGTCTAATAATAATGGAATGCAATGATTTAATCTTGATTTATATAAGATGGTTGTAGTTTTTGTCTTGATTTATTTTCTTAATCTTTTTTCGGTAACAAATATATATAATTATATTACATAACAATTTTCTATGACGACATTGTTATGTGAAAACACTATTTAATGGGCAATATGTCTATAAACGAATTGTTCCTTTATTAAAAAGTTAAAAGATATATAGAATATGGTATCAGGAACCATACTGTAATATTTGAGTGTCAGAGGTCTTACTGTCTTAGAGCCATCCATTGGCGTCGTCTATATATAAAGCTCTGCTTAAAATAAAAACCCAAAGATTCTTCTTCTTGCAGCCTCACAGAACTTACCTACCTTCTTACAGCGTCGTCTATATATAAAGCTCTGCCACTTTGCATCTCGTGAATTAAATTTCCACGTTTGTTTATTTTATTAGTTTGTACTCGTATCAAAACTTATGCATGTTGTTGTTAAAAAATAAAATAATAAGATACTAAATAAATTTTTATTTTGGCGCTTTAATCTTCTCTTGATAGCTGTTTAGTCCACATATATATCAATTTGCAATTCGATTTAATTTAGGATGTTTCGTTCATCAAAACTCAAGAGTTATGCAATCTTGATCAAATCAAAGAACATGTAATTTTTATTTTATTGCCTCAATATTCAGATGAGCAACAACGAATATTTTTTATATGCAGTGAAGCACGAGAGTAGTGGAGTCCTTTGGTCTTACGATGCTAACGTTTCTCAAATTTACTAGTAATTTTTACTATCTTTCTTTTGTTTGTAGTTTTTTTTTTTTTTCTTTAAATTAGATAAAATCAGGCCTGGCCCGGGACCAATTTCTATGATACATTTGTATTGGGCCTCATATTTTCGAGGCCCAATCATGTGGAATTTTTTTTTTTTTTTTTTTTTTTTTAAGGCCTCAAAATAAATTAAATAGGCCTCAAATTGATTATAATAGGCCTCAAAATAAATATAGAAGCCCAATCCTTAATATAAAGCCTCATAATTAGGAAAAAAGTCCTATAACTAGAAAACAATGTCCAAAATTTTTTAAAAATTGTTAAATAAAAATTATAAATACTCCATAATTAGCAAAAAAAATTTTTTTAGCAGTTTTTACTTTTAAAAAGACCTCAAATCTTTTTTTTTTTTGTATTTGGCCCCGGATTTTACCGGACCGGCCATAAACTAATTTTGTCTAGTGTGTTCTTTGCTCAATCCTAGCGTCTACCACGTCTCTGCTAGAAACATCTCTCTCTCTTTTTTTGCACAAGACAAATCGGTATTATTAATTTGGTTGTTGAAGAAGACAAAACGTTTCTATGGGATTTTACTTCACTTAATACATTATTGACTTTTCTTTTCATATAGTAACTCGTATGCTTGCTTGTGCAAGGTTGGCGTGCTGAGGCCACACGCGCAGGCGTCTTAACTCTTAACGGGAAAATTCAACTAATAAAAAAATAAACTGCAAAATTTTAAGAGTCAAAAATAATAAATTTTGTATTGAAAATTGAAAACAACAAATAAAATAAAACAATATTCTTTTACTTAAAGAACATATATAAAGAAATAGAGGGAGTAGTATATTTTGACGTCCTCTTGCAGTTTTCCATCGTGAACTATTTAAATTTACATTTGACTCCGAAATAACTAACTTTGACACTACACTATATAGTCTATATTAAAGAGATCAACATTAAGAGAAAATTCCAGCTATGTATGTTATTTTATCTACTCTAATACTCCAACATGCATTATCAAATAATAAAAATACAATTAGACATTACAAAGGACTAATCTGATTATATTTATCATGGTGACTTGTTTTTTGGAACTTAATTATCACGGTGACATTCAAACGTACACTCAACTTATCTGTAATTTTCTACCAAAAAAAAACTTATCTGTAATTTAACATTTTCAATTGTTGTGGATAGATAAACACAAGATTAAAAATGTAGATCCAACGGGGATAATATATTTGGTTGAGCAATAATTTTTCTGTAATATGGTTTTACATGATCTGATTTTCGATCTAAAACTTTTGTTTGAAGAAAATCATAAACCACATGACCTTCCAATTTCTAAACTACAAAAAAAAAAAAGATTTATAGGCTACGTACTGAGTTCTTATCTGCTACTTCAACAAATTATTTGAATATATTATTTATTTGAATATATTTAAATTGACATTTCACTATATTAAACAGATAAATATTAAGAAAGAATACAGCTATCTGTTTTATTTTGTCTTGTCTAGTCTAATGGTCTAACACAGGCTTTGTCAAACTACAATGAGACATGCCTACCAAAAAAAAAAACTACAATGAGACATTATAAAAGACTAATCTGATTATATTTATCACGGTGACCTTCCAAACGTACTCTTAATATTTTTTAAAAAATTCCAACTGTTGTGGACAGATAATTAGTGCAAGATTACAATTATACACTTTTTAAAAATCCGAGTCACGTTCCAACTGGGAAATACTACTACAAATTTTTTTTTTATTTAAGCTTGATCTGATTTGCCATCTTGGTTTGAAGAAATTGTGATCCACATGACCTCCAATTTCTTAACTATAAAAGGAAAAAAGATTTATAAGCTACTTAGTTCTTATTATTTGAATATACTTTCGTAACAAATGGGTTCATTTCGTTATACAGTATAAAAAAAATATCGCAAAATTGTGATGTAAATTTTATTTTAAAAAAAAAACAAAATGTGATGTTAATTATGTTTTTCATCCGGTCTTGTACCGGCACGAAATGAGTTATACCACCATTGACTTTATCTATTTGAAAACAACTAATTACGCATCAAAGAAGGGAAGAAAAAATAAAATATAATTAATTAAGCAATTAAATCACAATTTAATATACTAAACTCTGTGTGGCCCGAAGAGGACAATTGGGCCAAAAAGGGTCTAAAAGAGTTGACTAATGACTTGTACCTCTCCCGCCAAGTAAAAGCCGTTTTAAATTTCGTACCAAACTCACACGTGTCACCTAAGATGTCGGAGTGGCCTAGAGTTGACTCTTGACTTTTTAGATGGCTTTTCCTTTGACGAATACGTTCTCTACTATAGTTGAATTATTTACATTGGAAAATTAACGTGTAAACAAAAAATTTGCAAGAACTATACATACATGAACATGAGTGTAATAATCTTATTTCTCTATTTTGAAAAAATCTCATCTGTCTTTATTTATTTGATTAGGATAAAAAATTTTGGTTTGATTAGGAACGGTTATAATAGAGAAATATCAAAGATTCAAAAGAGGTACATGATCATCAGCGTTTATAATCCCGTTGAGCTTACTCCAAAAAAAGTGGAAAAGCTAAGGAGGATACTGTCTTCAAAACCAGATGCTAAGTGAATCCGAGAAGTGAGATATATGTGTCGATGGCGATGGGCCAAACAAGTTTGTCAAATACCACAATCTACGCCAATATAGAAATTCGCCGGAGGATCATAGAGAGGAGGAATCCATCTCCAAGGGAAAATTTCCTCGAATTTTTAAAATGATGAATGGGAAATTTATTCTAGCCAGATACAATCTCTAAAAGTCCTTAAACGAAGCTTAGAGGTCGCCGGTTCGAGTGACGCTTAGACGAAACTAATATTAAATATTGTGGTTTCGAGCCTGGGAGGATTACGGGCTTTAGCCCAGAACCTCAATGATACTCAAAAAAAAAAAATTCTCTTAAAGTCGTAGCAATCAAAGACATTATAATAATGGTCTTTGGTTTTGAGTAAATTACTGCACATTGAAAATAGTAAACCGATAAGCTCTCATGGGCCATAAATCATCACATATATTGGGCCTAGATATGGGCCTGGTCTTCATCGCCACGGACAAGTCGTATCATTAAGAGGAACAAGAAAGCACGTTATCATTAAAATTAGATTAAGCTGTATATATTACAAAAGCATTAAAACAACAACAAGAAGGATAACATCAAACGACAGTAAAAGAATAATAAACATTACAAACATACAAAAAAAAAAAAAACATTACAAACATAAATATGCAAACAATAGATAGATGGTAATGTGTTCATGTGTTGTGTGGCAGCAGCTAGCTAAAGAGCTTAATTAGCTTCTCATTTGGAAGGTGGTGGAGTGAAGAATGGGATGGTTGGTATGCTGGTGGGAAGATTGAATGGGAAGTTGTTTGGGATAGAAATTGGGAAGTTGGGGATATTGATTTGTGGGAAGTTTGGGATATTAATGGGTTGTGCTGGGTTAGGCAAAGAAGGTATTTGTGAGCTCGGTAATGGCGGAAACGCAGTTGGCTGAGGAAGAGAAGTTGAAGGAGGAAATGGTGGCATTGTGGTTGTGGGAAGTGGTGGGAATGTTGTTGTAACCGGTGGGGTAATAGCTGGTGTTGATTGAAGAAGGTGACGACTAGCTGAGAGACTAGTGAAAAAGCTTGTGAATGTTAATGCGATGACAAGGGATGATAACCAGTGAGCCATTTTTGGAGATTAGGGTTTTGAGTTGTCACTAGAGAGAGGTTTGATTTGTGAGTGATGATGGAGATATTATGAAGGAGTTTGTGTGTATTTTATAGAGGAATTAATTAGGGTTTTGAGGTTTGATGAGAAGTAGGTTTGAAGAAGTTTATTGTTGTTGCAACTTATTAAGAGTTACTTGTTCCACAACCACAAGTATGATTGGTCATTTCTAAGTTCTAACTAGAAACAACGATGACACATAGCACTTTAGCTAACCCGGTTTAATATATATGTACTATTTTTTATTTAAATATTGTAAAATAAAATAAATCTTCACAAACAAAAGAACTACTAGAAAAAAGTTAATTTAGTAAACAAAATTATTATAGTCAATAAAAATTTTAAAATTTTCAATCGGATACTTTTTACCTTCTGGTTTGGCCTCTGTTTGGACTTCGATGATTTTGTACACATACCGAAAAATTCGGTGTGTATTGGGTTTAATTTAAAAAATACAAGTGATAATATCTTATTCTTCGTCAATTGATATATGATGAGATTAGGTGAAAAGCAAAAAATATCAGTTTCATTAGATGTTCAGAATTGAAACTTTGACTTTTTTACGAATAATATTTTGTTTGGTCAACCAACAAATACGACATTTAATTAATTTTGATTTTTTTTTTTTTCATTATCATCAAGAAATTGTAATTTATTCTATCATATCTACCTATATGCAACACATAATGAACAATTTCACAAACAATTTTACGGCGACGTGCAGTTTTTTTTTTTGACGCGCAGTTCTCTTTGCAATATTCAGATCTCCTACTGACAGTTCTTATATGTACTATACTAACGATGAACAACCATACTCCTAACAGTCGAGATCACAACGGATAGCGCTCTATACTGTATTACTCGGGAACTGCCCATTAATTTTGAACTAGAAAAATACTATTAATCTACAAATTTGCTGTATCAAACGCCAAACCAGATGTAAGAACTTTTAAATCCTTAATCACTTGACCCAAAAAGATTTCCACAATTACTTATGGTTTAAAACTTTTCTTTTTAGGACAGTATATATATTAAAAATATGATATTGGCTGAAGTTAAAGTTTTAAAGAATTGTAACTGAATACCTAAAATACCACAATTTTATAATCTCGGTCGTAAGGAAAAAATAACTATGTTAATTTTGCATATTAGACCTAAATTGCCTAATCTAAAGAGGAAACATAAAGAAAAATAAATATAACAACACATGTTATTATTACTTTTTTTGTAATGAACGAGTACATATTTCCATTTTTTGCGTCAGGATTAAAGAGTTTTCGTAGCTAACGGAGATTCGAATGAAGAAAACGATTTTCGTTGTTTAACGTTTAATTCATTCATTAATTTGAAATCGAATACAAGAGTTGATACACCCATAATACATGAAAAAATAAAAATTCAAATACACAACAACTAATTAATACATATTTAATCATAAATTAGTACGATAAGGAAGTGAATTTACATGATGCTTTCAATACGTAAGCCTTACTCGCTAACGAATTAAGAAATCCTTTATTTTTTTTCTTTAGAACCAATCCCAATCCGACGAGAATCTTGTAAGATTTTTTGTTAAGCAATAATATTTTAAAAGTTGATAAAAATAAATAGATTAACGAAAAAATAGACTGTCGCAATTTTCAAACGTAGTAAAGGAAAACCATATTTCGGGAAGAATAAGGAAATAACATTAACGCATATCGCTAAGTCATAGAACAAAAAGGAAACATCACAAACTTGCATACACATGTTTCCTTTTCTGTAATGGAGTATAAATCCTTTTTCTATTAGTAACTAAAGACCTCGTTGATTATAAATAACCCTTTAAACCTCTCATTATTTCTCACAATCAGCTGATTAAGTGCTTCTCTCGTTCGTTTAAAGCAAAAGACGAACAAGAACCCAACGAAGAGCACAAATCTTCTTGAAGATGTCGATTACGTTAATACACCGTTACATCGTCAAAGACGTTTTTGCCGTTCCGTTTCTTACAAAACAAGGAATTGGTTACCATTACTTTTGTCGTAACTCCGTTTTACATATTCGTCAAAAAGTGGTTCCTCGCTCCGGCTCGAAGAAACGTTCTTGTTACCCACAAAAAGATTCTTTTAAACCATCTAATACCGGAAAATCCCAATCTAAACCGGATCCGGTTCATGAAAAGCCGATTCAAACACCGAGTGAAGAAGGAGAATTTTTTGATGGTTCTGTCACAATGTGTGCAGCTCCTTCGCCAAGACACGTGCCGATTCCGATATTTTGTGGTAGAGAGATGATCAAAGAGTCTTCAAAGCTAGTGAAGACATGAATGACAAGAATAAGAAGAAAACCACTTAATCTTTTTAGATTTTGTTTTGTTCAGCAATTATTAGTATTATCTTTGTCTTTGTTCAGAATTATGTAGCCACTAATCTTCACTCTTACTCACAATCTGTGTAGATGAGTATTTAGTTGCTAACTAATTGTAATTGATCCAGAGTTCGGAGATAATAAATAATTTTAGAGTTTTCGAACTTTTCTTGTTCGTTTCTATAATTATCTGAGTTGTTTACCTTTTGAGTCTTACGACTACTTTAGATTCAAAACTAAGACCATCTCCAATGCCCAACTCTATAATTTCCTCTATTTTAGAGAAACTCTATTTTAGAGGCATACATTGGAGCAAAATCTCCTCTAAAATAGAATTCCTCTAAAATAGAGGAAATTATAAAGTTGGGCATTGAAGATGCCCTAATCGATTTAGACAAATATACGGTATATACCCAACACTGACAAAAGATTGTTGGGTACAAAAAAAAAAAAAAAAAAAAAAAGTTGTGTCTAAATAATAGGATTCAGTGTTCTTCTACATTAAATTTTAGAAGAATTGTTGTGACCATAACTACGAGTTGTTGTGTCTTGTGCGATTGCTTTTAAGGAAGGTAGTGACAGAGCAAGCGTAGGTTACAGTAGCAGCGACTATAAAAACTCCGATGTATGTGCACAGAGTGGTTGCACACACATATAGGTACCTGTTCCGATTGTTCACCAAACACAATCAACAACTATTTTTTTTTTTTTTTAATCGAAAACCAACCCGATCCAAATCGAACCAAACAGGATCAAAGACTTACTTGGGAGAGAAGACGCTCCACACAAAGAGGTGATTCCTCATGAGTAACAAGACGACAGTATATGCGGTCAAGAGTATTGAGTTGATGCAGAGCGGAACAAGGCAAGGGAACCCGAGCTTTAGCTTCAAAATTTGTCCAAGACTTGTTTCTGGGTGAGTTGATATTGTTGAGTGTGAATGGTTTCTTAGCTTTGCACCAATGTACATCACCAATGATAGAAGGAACAACATGGGAGATGCATAGGTGATCATGAACATCAATATCCCAGAGAGTATTGTAGAATGACTAGAGATTCCCTAAAGAAAAAGGGTTTGGTGAATGTGTCAGTGTTTGGGTAAAGATTATACATGGAAAGCGAATTAAGAAATAAAGAGGAAGCAGAGGACTTACGATAAAAGCACCAGCAACATCGATGGTTGCTAAAGTGTTGCTGTTTCCAAGAGCAAAGTGACCTGCCATTCCCATGTAGTAGAGTGCAGCAATCTACAAAAAGAAGAGAAACCCCAAACCATAAAGCTTAAATCGATGAGCTTTTTACGGTATAAATCCCGGACAAAGAAGAATAAAAAAAAAACTGACCTCGACCCATTCGTTGACCTGCAAATCATTAGAAGAAAGACATAAAATTGCTAAGATTTGGAGGAGCAGCAAAAGTATGGGCCCCGAGTTGATCGGTTGTTGGAGAAGTAGCTGTAGAAGACACCAACAAAGTATGTATGCAGAGCCAATCGAATACAAGCAATCACCCACTTCAGCTAGAAAAGACTTGTCTTTGTTTAGCGCAGACCATGGCAAAACCAAAGAAGCTCCAATGGCAGATATAGATAGAAGATAATAAATAACTTTTACTGTGACAGTGGCTCCAAAATCGGTCGACATTTCATCCTGATATCTCCCAGCATGCAGCAAGGTTAGGAACCCACAAGCTGAGAAACCAAATGCTAGGATGCGAACACTTTTTCTATTCGATTCTGTTCGAAAGAGAGTATATAGTCCTAGAACAATAACAAGGAAGTTTGAGATTAGCTGAATCCATTTCACATAACCACTGCCAGCTTGCTGTAGCCACTTCGAAATATCAGGAAGGTAAGTCCAGTTCACGCCCCCTTGATGCCAACCTCTCAGTAATCTACCAGAAATAAGAAGCGAGAAGATAGAACCGAATTTAAAGTCTCTGAGTATGTTCATCCCCTCGGAAAAATTGAATGACTTTGATGTCTTGAAGAGTAACAGAAGATAGAATGTTGATACCATGAAATGCCATATATAATGCTCTTCTTCCACCATTGAACTAGATCCCATGCTTATAACAAGGATCAAAAGAAGAGCAAAAATGAACATCTCTTCTAAATTCAACAAAAAACTCAAACTGCAGACCTGATCCTTGGGCTCATGGTAAACATCTTTGAATAAAGACAGAAAGACAGTGGCACAGATGAAGCATGAAATAAGCATGGCACTCACTCCAAGACCGAGTAAGAGAACAGGTTTCTGCAAACATAGAAGAGTTTGTTAAGCATACTACAGATTTTTTACTAGATTTGGAAACTAGTGACGATTGGCAATTGTAATTTTCTTTAAAGAAGCTCATGGGACTCAAGAAAAGATATCAAAACATACTTCAGTGGTTTTGCTTGCTAACCACTCACTTGCAGTTTTCAAGAAGGTGTTATATGCATCTAAAGCTCTGCTGAAATCTTCCATGGCACTAGACGACCTACCAACATGAAAGCCATCCTTGGAGTTAAATATAAAGAGTTCAAAGTCAGGAGGAGTACGGTGAGTGAAAATCTCATATAACTCACGCACTCTGTTGATTTCTTGGACTTCCAAATGCCATGGAGAACAGCAGCATTCCTAAATAAGCAAATAAGTTGTTTCTCTTTATCCCCAGAACACTCACTAATATCCAATTCAAGGCCCTCACAAGTTCCATCAAGGAAGCAATTGCAGGAGAAGCCTGGAAACGAGGAATTTTGTATCTGTGCTTGCATAAGTCTGAGTAACTGCCATGAATTCAGTTCTAGTGCCCGTAGTTGCTCAAAATCTGAAATGATCAGAGAAAGCGAAGAAAAAACAGTCAAATGCATACCCACAGACTCGAACAGGAAAATGCGAGAGCTCAAAAGTGGTTAACCTCTTAAAGAACTAAGTGTTCCTGGGACAAGGACGCCAACGTTGTTCTTTGGGATAGGCACACCAAATAGAAGAGCTAAAGTTGGCGCCAAATCTACCTACATCAGAAGAATTTTGTTGGTTTCATATCATGCATAACTCATTATCATCAACAGACTTTCCAAAAGAGGTAGATGTTCAACGGACAGGAAAAGAGATGAAAGATATCACAAAAGTTGCAGTGACTGTTCTACCTGGAAAGCTACATTATTGGTAGCTGAAGCATAGTCAGAAATATTGCTATTCAAGCCAATAAAGAGCATTAACGAGTCAGTTTCTTCATATGAGGACCCTCCGTGGTTTCCATTCTCAGTCATGCCATGATCACTGACTATTATCTGAATATGAACCAAAATACGATTAACTCTTGACATATGAAAGTCAAATGGACCTTCAAATACGAAAATTACTCACCAGAAGAGTCTGTCCTTGATCATGGCTGCGATCCATCAAGGCTCTTAAATGCATTGTTCTAACTATATCATCCATTTCTTTAAGTTTTGCAGGCATCAAGGGGCTAGAATAGAGAAACAAATAACAAGATGATTCAGCCATACAACTAGTAAACTTTCTACTCACAAATGGGTTATGAAACTAGGAAAGACCTGTTACGACCGCCAGTATGTCCAACGTGATCCAAACCAAGGTAATGAAGGATCTGATAAGGGGTAGATCTAGTAAGAATAAAGCACAGAAAACCTTAATTGATATCCAAGAGGAATTTTTGTTTAAGTCACTATATATTTTAAGGGAATAGAGAACAATCAATTGGCGTTCGACGGACAAAACACCAATCCTGGGGATAAGAGAAAAAGCAAAAACTAACCAAGAGATTCCAGTCATCACTGTTAAGCTCATCGGGCAAGTGTCGAGAAACATTTCTGTCTACCTGTACTGTATCTTTGACCTGTCCAAAAAACATTTTTTTTTGTTCATATGACCATGACATAGATAAGAAAAAAGCAATCAACAAAACCAAAGATCACATAAAAACTCACAAAGAAACTGCTAACACCGTCATGTCTCATAAATAACCCTGGGAATAACTTGAGCCACGTCTCATCACCGAGCATCACCATCTTCCAACCAATCCTGAAAAATTGACCTGGTAATTTTGGAGCACTGTTACAAGGGCTTTTCTTTCAACTGCATATGTTTGCAAACATGAAACATTTCTCATTGAAAAAACTAATAGCTACCAAGAAGGTTGTCATCTAAGAGAGCTTGTGTGTTAAAATTAAAAGCCACGTCCAAGAAACCACCAATTGCCCCAGAAACCATCGCCTGAAAAAAACAATGATATATATCAACTCAGCAAGCAAAACAATTCATCTTAAACTGTGATCATCCACTTAACAACGACGATACACACACCTTCAATCTCGGCATTGTAACAGTTGGAGGAGCTGCTTTAGCATGGTAACCAATAGCATCTCCATTAGCCAACAATGACTGAGTATAAGGCATAGACTCTTTCCATACCTTCCATGGAGGTTTACCATCTTTCCCAAGAACGAACTCCGCAGGAAGCCCATCAATAACCTAAACTAGCAATAATTGTGTTAACATAACATCCTTAAAAAAAAAAAACATTCTCTCACAAAAATCAAGATCCACAAATTTCAACAAAGTGCAACATACCATCAAAATCAGTCGATCATATTTAGAAGAGATTCCAGACAAATCCTACAAATTCACCAAAATCAGCGAAAGATACTCAAAAGGAAGCTTACGCATTTGTATTTGGATTCACAAAAAAAAAAAAAAAAAAAAAAAAAAAAAAAAAAACCTGGTAGAGCAATTTCAGTTTTTCAGGATGATGAAGCTCCGATTCGTTCGAAATCGGAGAAGAATCACAGAAAGGATCTCGATAGCTCTCCGAGCCACTGCCAATTTCAACATAAACGAATCAATAAAGCGTAGATTTCTTCTTCTTCGACTTCAAATGTTATTGAATTAGTAGTACCTGACACCGGAGAGAGTCGGCTTGACGGGGAAGAAACCGAATACAAAAATGGAGAGGCCGATAATCTGAAGAAATATCCCAGCCACCGTAAAAATCGTCAGTCTCGTACAAGTCATCGCCGTCGTCATTTTCAAGATCCGGCGAGAAACTGAACCAAAAGAATTCAAAAAAGAAAAGAAAGAGGACAAAGGAAGCTTTGGGCCTAATAAAAGCCCAATAAGAATAAAAAGCCCAGTAAGGACTCTGCTTTATTATAACGGTCACTGTAGTTTCTCTGTGTGTCAGAGAGAGAGTGTGTAGAAAGAAAGAAGCCTAAAATGGCTAAAAGGTTAGGTGCAATCCTTGTTTGAAAAATCGCTAGGCGCTAGTCGGGCGCTCGGCATGGGCCTAGCGATTAATCAGAAATCGGATTAAAATCGGGGATTAATCGGGGATTAGTTTTAGGGTTATTTTAATATTTTTAAAACATATTAATCCAATATTATTTTCAAAATTGCAGTAAACACATAAAAATGTATTTTTGAGACAAAATTTTATGATTTTTATTACAAATTTTTGATTTTTATTAAAATTTGAACATAAATTATTGTAAAACATTACAAACTCTCAATTCAAATGATTGAATAACAAAAATAAAAAGTTTTTTTACACTAGCAATCTAAAAATAATCGGAGTATGTAAGATTAGGCGGGGAATAATCGGATTAGGCGGAAAGTAATCGGATTAGGCGGAGAGTAATCGGGTGACTGATTTCTTTAAGGGATTAGTCATTAATCGAGACGGATAGGGTGGGCCTAGCGATTAAGCGGGGAGTAATCGGGTCTAGGCGGGGATTTTTAGAACAGGGGGTGCAATGTTACATAGAGGCTTAAGGTCACGAGTCTACTCATTAAAAACTCTGACACTTTGACCAATCAAAAACTAAAGACCGCACCAGTTGTGTCACGTGCGCCTCTAAACTGTATTCAATTTCAAATTTTCAATTGAACATAAATGATTCATGCGGTTTCCAAACGCAGTAAACGCTAAAGCGTTAACGTATGTATCTGGCATGATGGATGTTGGACCAAATTTTAATCTACTTTTACCAAACCATAACAAATATGAATAAACAGAACTTACTTAATTGAACCAAATAAATTGTTTTAGCGAATAATTTTTTTTTAATTGAAACTAAACCAAGCTGAAATAAAACTCTACGATTTTTCGTTTTCAGATTATGCCGAAAAAAAAACAAAAAATGATATTGTATCTAATCGGCTTTTTTAGATTAGTTGAGGATTATATGATAATTTGTGTTGGGATGCGCTCAAAACTCAAATTTGGTAAAGTTTTGTTACAAACTATTTTGGATGTAATATGAAACTTAATTTGATCATATTTGTTAAATTTCATGGGCTTCACATTTTGATCCTAAATTTGATGATATGAAACTAAGCTTGAGGCAAATTCCTAACATTATAAAATGTCACAGCATCACGATACTCGCCGTTACGTAATTTAGCATGTTTTCTAGGGTTTTTTTCAAAGTCCTGTGATATAATTACTAATTTAAGCGTCAATGTACAATCTTCCAATCCTAAACTCTCATCAATATTTACAAAAACTTTCCAAAAATACAACATTGTTTGTTCTATAAACTTTCAATATTCCATGTATATTACTCGTAGAACACTTGCTTTATATAGACAGATCAATAGATTTTTCCACAAACGCAAACCATTTTAATATTGTTGTTGTCAACGAAAATTGATACTACTATTTATATGTAGTTAATACCGTCTTAATCACATCAACCATACGATTTTTACCATGTGGAACCCTTCATAATTCATATGGTATCATAAATTCGCAATACAGTAAAACTTCTATAAATTAATAATATTGGGACCAAAAAATTTTATTAATTAGGAGAGGTATTAATTTATCGATATATAGAGAGATTTTCCTAATTTTGTAATTTTTTAAAAAATTTCTATCTAAAAGTATTTTTTTTCTTTATAAGCAATATTTTTTTTAAACCAATTGCAAGTAGAGAACCAATTATTAAGTTTAAAAAACAACCCAAACTTTTTTTCGAATAATAGAGTCATATTTCATTAATTTTTTTTACATATAATATTTTAAATATATATCATAGTAATTCAAATATGACATATATAAATTTATATCATATATATATATAAAGTTAAATATACATATAAATATATATATATATATTAAGTTAAATATATATATATATATATTGATAAGTTTATATAATTATTAATTTATAATATAGATGGGACTATATGTTTACAAGAAATTTTCAAAAAAATTATTATCTTATTAATTTATCGATTTATGTCATATTTTACATTGGTCTCAACTCGGGACCAAAAAAATTTATTATTTTAGAGAGGTTATTAATTTATAGAGTATTAATTAATAGAGGTTTTATTGTAATTCAACTTCAACACGAGAGTTTCGTCGGAAGAGAAAATACTCGAATAGGGAGCCAGAGATACGAATACGAGCCACATGTATAACAATGGGTAAAATAATTGTATTCTTGGAGTAATAAAGTAAAGAATGGAGTAGTTGCTTATTTTTATTTGGTTATTAGAAATAAAAATCTGTGTGTTCAAAAAAAAAAAAAAAAAAGAATAAAAATCTGTACGGACAGTGGATCGTGTCCCAATCAGATTTCTTGTGGCTACTACGGGTTTGGTTTTGGGTCCCCTCTAAATTTTTAGTGGTCGACACTGTTTTATTTACTCTGGGTCGTGGGCCCTCCTATTTGTTTCTTCGCATCAAGGAATGCTTAAAACATTATTTTATTCAAATCAAACCCTTTAATTTTCTTTTTCTTTTTGCCTTTAATTACGGTTTTAGTCTATGGAATGATGATTGAAATCAGTGTTTGGTTCGGTTGATGACGTTAGTAAAGTATATGTGATTAGTAATGTTGAGGTTATGTAATCTATATCTACTAAATCAACAGTCACTTTTTAAATAACTGCAGCTTTCTCTATCTACCACATGTCATAAGTCTCAAATTCTCTTCTTTTACTTTTCTACGCCATTTTACTTATTTATTTGATAAAAATATATTCCTACAATGTTATCCTTTTTTTTCTCTTATCTAATTAAACTCACAACTAATCAAAAATATAAAAATTTTTTTCAATTCTTTCTCCCACGTTCCATTTACTCATTTCCTTAAATGGTAAAAAAGCTCGTAAGATAATGTAATTTCAGTTAAATTTTATTTTGAATTACATATTCAATTTGTTCTATAAAAATACTTCAGTCATGATACCCCCTTAATTTGTATGTATATGACAACTTCATATTACACAATTATTCGTGCATGATACCCCTTTACTGGGATTGAACAAAAATTATTCGTGCATGACAACTTAATTTTCCAATTCAGTACTGTACATAGATTGTATAATGGACTGTATATATCATGAGTAGATATGGAACATTAGCTTACAAAACTATTTTGAGGACACAACTCTTCCGACAAGTTATTATGCCCCATTATTGACCGTTAGTAAATTTTCAAAAAATATTGCACTAATGTGTTTGAAATTAAAAACTTATTTTTGTCATTTTCGAGTTGCACTATTATCATAATATGATTAGATTAAATATTTTTGATGATGATGGTATATATATAATAAAAAATAATAATAAGAAAGCGTTGATATTATTTTGTTCTTTCTGAGTTTTGTCATGAGATACTAGTATACTACCATAGTTCCATATATTTGATTTACAAATATGAAATTATGGTATAGCCCTTGACGTTCTTTAGAGTTTCTTGTTAGTTTTTGCAGTAAATACGACGATCGAATTTAGTTACAAGACTATAAGTGAACAAAGTGAGACACCTCATTTTATGCTTCCCTATAAAAGAAATTCTCCACTGACCCAAACACACACTTCTCTTCTCTCTCTCATCTCATAGGAGACTTATATCACACCATATCCAATAACCACCACACACAAACCAATATCCTTTTTTTGTTTCTTTTGTTTTTTGGACAACAACAAATATCCTAAAATAATAACAATATATCTTTTTTCTTTCCAAAAATAATCATTTAAGAAACCCCATCATCTTGTAGTATTATTTAATTAATAAACCTCTCCCTGAAAATATCTCATCCTTCACCAATCAAATGTCTTCTTCTCTACCTTTGAGGTGGAAAATTAAAATTTTAATATATTCCTTTAGCTTTCTCCTTTTCTCCTTCTTCTCTCTGAGTTTTTGTTTGATATATCCTCTCCATTTTCCTTGTTGATTCATCAACTAGATCTAATTCTCACAAAGAGACTTAGATTTTCTTTCTTTCAAATCCTTCAAAAACTAGGGTTTTTACTGTCTTCAAGTCATATTTATTCTTCTAAATTTAGCAAAAAGAACACGATTTACTTTCCATTTCAGTCGTCTTGTCACACTCTCTCTTCTTTAAAGTCTCCCTTTTTAGCAAAAAAATCTCTCTCTCACAAATTTTCCTCTGGGTTCTTCTTCCTCCTCTCTTTACTTTCTCATATATATCTCTCATTCTTGAATCTTGATCCATCAAAATCAAATCCCGTTCGAAACCTAAGCTCTCTTCTTGCTTCTAGGGTTTTTTCTTGTTGTAATGGCGAGAGAAAAGATTCAGATCAGGAAGATCGACAACGCGACGGCGAGACAAGTGACGTTTTCGAAACGAAGAAGAGGCCTTTTCAAGAAAGCTGAAGAGCTCTCCGTTCTCTGCGACGCCGATGTTGCTCTCATCATCTTCTCTTCCACCGGAAAACTCTTCGAGTTCTGTAGCTCCAGGTCTTTCTTTCTCTCTCTCTCTCTCTCTCTAACTATCTATCTCGTTTAGATGTCTCATAACTCGTAGAAGGAATCTTGTCTAGATCCAGACAAAAACTGTTTTTCAGATGTATATGTGATACATAGAAGTTTACTGTATCAATCTTTATAGGACCACTAACTATTTATATAATTAAAATACTTGTTGGAAATATTAATCATGACCATAAATGACATAGATAAAGTGTATAGTAAACTCTGTATTTAGATAAATTAAGGTATCTAATTACGGTAATATTCAAAAAGATGTAAATATGGATATATGTATATATATAAGGTATCTAATTACGGTAATATTCAAAAAGATGTAAATATGGATATATGTATATATATATAAATCTATGTATATGTATCTTGTGGTATAATATGTATAAGCCATCAATGTCATATTTATTTCGAAATATGTGGATACCATAACATTAGGAGTTTAGGAGGTATCTATATGTGTGGAATATTAGTGTTGGGAAAAGTCATTGAGATATTATGGATATGTTATTAATATCGTATTAGAAAGCTACGATATTGGATTTTTGACCCACTAGTTTTTTTTTTTTTTGTTTTTTTTGGTAAAAGGTTAAGGGTCTAAATGGTGACATTATCTTGAGGAATTGTTGTGGAAAACTTGTTGAATTATTCTTTGGTCACATCATTTACACTTGAGGAAAACTTGAGGAAATTAAGTCACGTCATTTGGTTTAGTAATATTTTTAAGCTTGTAATATTATTATTGTTATGTTTTTAATAAATTATGAATACTTTCATATTATAAATCATAATTTTCATAAATCTTTTTAATCTGTTTGTGTGATGATTATAAAAAATAGTTAGTTAACTTTTCTTAAAAAATAAAAAACATAAATATTGATGAAATTGGTTAGGTTTATATTGATGACTAAACACTAAAAATAATTCCGTAAATAATTAATTTTAATAGCTTATGGTTTTATATATCAATTATGTTTGATAAAACTATTAAAAATATTAACCTATAATTCCACCAAAATCTACCTTTTTTAATTATAGTTTATTTGCTAAATTATGTTGTTATATTAATAAGATTATTAAGTATATAAAACTTTAAATAAATTATTTTCATTTTTTATGGGGCTTTTGCAAAAATGCCACTTTTCAAAAATACCCCTTTTTAAAAACCTTATAAAAAATGTTCTTAAAAATATAAGATTTATCCAAATATGTATGTAATATTATTAAAACATACACAAACTACATTTCTATGTATCTAAAATCTTATAAATACTTTATAAATACTTTATAAATGCATTTTAAATACCTTTAAAAACCTTTAAAATATCTTGTAAAACATTTGAAAAACCTTAAAAATCCTTTAAAATAACTTGTAAAACCTTTAAAACACCTTATAAAACCTTATAAATACTTGGATCGAGTCTTCAAGTAGTAGTTACAATCCATAAGTACCTTATAAACCTAATAAAACTTTATAAAAATTTCAGATTTAAAAAAGGGCATTTTTGAAAATGGACATCTAAAAGAGGCATTTTTGAAAAGAGGCACACCAAAAGGGGTATTTTTAACAATTTTCCTTTTTTTATCATCGTAAATTTTGATAAAAATTGGTAAAATTACCTAAACATATAAAAAAACTTATAATAACTTATTTTGTTTATTTCATTAATATGGTTGACAAAAATATATTTAATTAAGTATTTTTATAAGTTTATATCTTTCATTAATTTTTCAAAAATTCAGCCAGATTCAGCGGTTACCATTTGAGTTCTAAATTATTCAGCCAGATTCAGCAATTCAGCAATTCAACCAGATTCAGCCGGATTCAGCGGTTACCATTTAGACCCTAAGTTTCGACCCACTAGTTATCAGTTCAGTTCCTACCTTCGGTGACATACACACTCACAAATAAGTGTGTATGTAACTAAAAACTTCAGTGTTTGACATGAAATAATGTATATGTTTGGGATTAGGTTTGCATCTTTTGATTTTAGAATTTGGGTATATTGTCGATGTTTATATAACATACATAATAGAGCAAAGATCATTGACAGTCTTATATAATAAGAAATTTATTGGAATGTGTTTGCATTATATAATGAAGCATGAAGGAAGTCCTAGAGAGGCATAACTTGCAGTCAAAGAATTTGGAGAAGCTTGATCAGCCATCTCTTGAGTTACAGGTTAGCTACATTTTCTTTCGCAATTTCTGTAACTTACAAAATAAGAGTATTGCTCCGGTGGATTACCAATATTTTTTAGATTACTATATATACTCATGTACACAAGATTGATCAAGAATCTGTAATTTATTGTATCAATAGGCATAGGCCTGAGCAATATACCTGGAACCGAATACCCGAACCTAAAAACCCGGAAAGATATCCAAACCGAACTAAAACCGATTTTTAAAAATATCCGAATGGGTCCTAGACCTTCCTATTTGAAAAAACCTGAACCGAATTCAATATCCGTGGGCATCCGAATACAAATATACACCTAAAAATATTAGTTATATTTATATTTATAATACTCCGAATACCTAAAATTACAATAATAAATCTGAAAATATTATATTTTGTTATATTTGGTTAAATACAATGTATTTTTGAGTAATCGGGTATTTCAGTTAGATTTGGGTATATATGAGTAAAAACTCCGAACCCGACCCGAACCCGAAAATATTTCGGATATTTTTAGTTATTTTCGGGTATTTTGTTTTTTTTTTGTAAATACCCGAATCCGAACCGAATTTTTAGAATACTCGAATGGGTCTCAACCTTCCTATCCGAATAGATCCGAAACCCGAAAAAAAGATCCGATCGGGTGTAGGTACCCGAATGCCCAGGCCTTTGTAGGCAAGCATTATATTATTGCTTATGATTAATTAGTCTACATTTTAACATAAGAAAATAATCAATCCATGTAGGAGTAATGAATGGATGCGAGCTGTCTAAGGATATACTTGTATAATAGTCATGTGTAGAGATTTGAGCTTTAGAGCATTATGGATATGATTAAGAGCTTAACTCAATGTTTATTCTGTAGCTGGTTGAGAACAGTGATCACGCCCGAATGAGTAAAGAAATTGCGGACAAGAGCCACCGACTAAGGTACATTATCTATGTAAATTCCATGAATTTTTGAACTAACTATCATTTTCTAACTATGTGTTTATATGATCATATATAGGCAAATGAGAGGAGAGGAACTTCAAGGACTTGACATTGAAGGGCTGCAACAGCTAGAGAAGGCCCTTGAAACTGGTTTGACGCGTGTGATTGAAACAAAGGTTAATTGTTAAGAAAATTACATGATACAATGTAGAAGATTTCTCTAAGCTTACGACTATACACAATTTACTATTACGAGATGTTGTTATTGCAGAGTGACAAGATTATGAATGAGATCAGCGAACTTCAGAAAAAGGTAAGAATTAATCAAAATAACGTTTATTCTTTACTTCTTGATTTCAATATAAATTAAATTTTGGCAGTTTCAAGAGCCAACAATATCATATTCCTTTCTTTTTTTGGTGTTCAGGGAATGCAATTGATGGATGAGAACAAGCGGTTGAGGCAGCAAGTATGTGTCTTACCCTCCGTTTATAACAAAACTTTTTTCCTTTGTTTACACTACACACACTCCTGAATTTAAACTCAGGATTATGAATTACTAAGTTACAGACCCTGATTATCTATAACATATATCTTTGATCATACTGTGAGATAAATGAATAAACCAAAGTGATTATCGCGACTGAAATTTGTTTTTAAATCTATGGTAACCATGTAGCTAGTTAGTTAGTCCCTAAGGTCCTAGAGGTAAGAGTGTGCATGGTTTTGGTTCGTTTTTTTTTTCGTCTTCATAATTTTTTTAAAAAGTTTTATGAAATATGGAACCGAAAATATAATGAATTTAATTCTTGTTTGATATGGTTTGGTTGAGACTTCATGTCAAGATTTGCTCATTCGTAATTTGATCTCTAGCTAGAGAAATTCAAAACACATGCATGGTGCCAAAATGCAAATAATTAGAGAACTTAATGATTTGTTTTGTCTTTATTTTTGCAGGGAACGCAACTAACGGAAGAGAACGAGCGACTTGGCATGCAAGTACGTGTATATATAATCTTGATTATTTTGAGTTTTGTATGTTTCTTTCGGTTTAATGTTAAATTTGGAATATTTGTTTGGTTACGGTGTAGATATGCAATAATGTGCATGAATACGGTGGTATCGCTGAATCGGAGAACGCCGCCGTGTACGAGGAAGGACACTCGTCGGAGTCTATTACTAACGCTGGAAACTCCACCGGAGCACCTGTTGACTCCGAGTGCTCCGATACTTCCCTTAGGCTCGGGTAACAAATTAATCACCCTTTCTTTTCTTTTTTCCATTCTCTTTATTTAACAATAATTTAGGCACCAAAAGACCATATGTTGGCTATTTATTTACAATGCAAAAAATGGATGACAAAATCGTAAATAAGTTGGTTCATTTATATTTATATGCTTTTGATAAACACTGTTATTTCTCTCCGATATCTTACTATTTGTTTTCATGCACAAAAAAATATACCACTTATTTATGTTTGTCTTTTTAAAATTTTTGCCCCTAAATATAATCATCTAGCTAGCTTTATCGCTCTAAAAAGAGTATCGGATTTAATGCTTGGTGTTGTGCAGCTTACCGTATGGTGGTTAGAGATGGGACAATCCAAAGAAGTTGATGGAGGGAGGAGAGTAATGTAAATCTTTTTTTAACTCGGTAACAACAAGAGACAATGTCTAAATAGTAAAATCTAAAATGTTTGTTGTAAGTTTCTGTTTGCAGAAGAGGCTTTCCTATTTTTATGATTATCAGTTTATCACTATATTTGATATCTCTTCACTGTATTTCTGGTTTGTGACGTTTGTCACCAACAAACTGTATTGACATGGAAGGTTAGAAAATGAAGTATTGTAGAATTTTGATTATCGATCTACTCTTGCTTAGGGATCAAAAATATAATTTAGTGATGCCTGAAATAACTGATCATCATAGGACTTAGTCTCATTAGAGATTTTGGTGTTACAAAAGCGTGTTGTTTTTGTTGAATCTATAGTACAAAGTTTAACAAGTTATCTGAGACCAGAGTTTTTCAAGAGTCTTCATTGTGATTATGGTGAATTAATGATATAACTTTGTGTGTGTGACAATTGCAACGTGTCTTGTTTTGAGGAACACATGTCTGTTGTTTAGTTGGATCTGTGGGGTTGGATGAGATTGAGTTCTATGATGTTAAGTTTTTTTTTTTTTTTTTTTTTTTTTTTGTTGGTTTAATGTTAAACTATGATGATTCAGCAAAATATGGTTCCGACTTCCCGTTCGTTCCATTCACCGTACTTTACCTCATAAAGTTTGAGTCTTTCTTGGCGAGTAAGAGCCGAAATGCTTCTAAATTGCTTGAACATATCATTCAAAAGTGCTAAAGAGAAAGCTTTATCATTCAAAAGTGCTAAAGAGAAAGCTGGACCTGTGGAAGAGTTCCAATGGCTAGGGCTAATGCTCGTTATAGCTGTTCCATTCCCTTGAACTGGTGCTTGGACAGGCGCTATAATAGCATCGATCTTCGACATGACGTTCGGTCTGCTGTTTTGTCTAGTTTCTACGTTGTTGTGTTGGCTGGACTGTTGCCTGTTGGCAAATCTTGGTCTCTGAAACAAGCCATTGTGGCCAGGACCGGCGTATGGGGAGTTCTAGAGGAGAAAATGTGTAGGGCAAAATTTTTTTTGGGTAAATTTAAGACCTAAATTTTTTTTTTTTTTGGGTGATTCACCGGGAGACAAGTGTCTCCCGTGTTTTATTAAAATATGAAAATAAATGTCATTACACACGGATTAGCCGTGGTCGTGTTGACCCAAAGCTATCTTTTTAATATCGAATCCAAATTACTCGGAACCGAATCAAATGAATGAAGGGTCCAAATTTTTTTTTAGTAAGAAAAAAAAATAATTTTTAAGATTTTAAAATATTTTTAGCATGAGAAAGGTCTTTTTATTTTTATATGAAGAAAGGACTAATTTTAAAATTTTGTACGGGAACTCTAAATTAATTGAGCCGGCCTTCTGGCAGCGTAGTTGGTATTGCTTCTCTTCTTTGTATTAATTAAATCTCCCACTTAGCGTCATATATAGGCCCATTATTTTCTTAGAGAGGCCCGATTTTATCGATTTTTTGTCATGTGGCTTTAGTGTGGAAGCCCTATTAGATGGCCATTTATCGTTTTATTAATCACGTTTTTTTAATTAATCATTGAAAGAGGGCAATTGCGAAGATTTATTAATTAATTACTTTAAAAAGTGTTTCTACAAAGAAAAAAAATCCAAGTCGACTTGCAATCTTACCATATATTTTCAAAAAATACAGATTAATCATACGAAATAAAAAAATTAATACATACTCCTTCTGTTCCTAGAAGGTTGATGTTATAAAGTTTTTATATATATTAAGAAGCAATTATTGTTTAATTATTTGTCAATTACTTTTTTTATACTAAATAATTTTTAATAACTTTGAACCAATAGTATTAAAAAATAGTTAATCATTACGTCTTGAAGTTTACTATATATTAATTTTAATTAATAAAAAATAAAACAAAACCTAAAAAATCAAACTTTGTGGAACAAACTAAAACACTAGAACATCAAATATATAGGAACAGAGGGAGTAATATATAACCTTCATACGTATCTTCTAAAATGTTTTGCTCTTATCTACAATTTCAAATTTTTAAAAGATGATTTTGAATTATTTTTTTTTATGAAATGTGAAATTGATTAATAAATAGGGGTTTTACAGACTATGTTATGAACAAAAACAGAGTATTAGAAAACAAAAAAACAGGGCATAGGAGACTATCTATTCTCCCTAGAACGAAACCATTCTTGCAGCAGACCTCGCAGCTTCTTGGAGTCGTAGTACCGTAGCGATGAAATACGATTACGAATTAACTTCTCAATAGTTTTTGAAACCTGGGTATGAGTACATAACCTTTTATTATGCCTCCGATCATTCCGTTCCCTCCATAGACAGTAAATTGTAGCTTGAAAAGCTAGCCGAAGAAAGATGTAACGGTGGCCCTCATTTTGCTGCACACACAAGCAAAGAAGAGTGCCGTTCCAGTCAGGTCCGGTTCAGAATGCAACAAACCTCCAGCCACATCTAACCAAACCAGATAAGAGAAAGGACACGCAAAGAAAAGATGATCCCGTGACTCATCTCGCTCTCCACGGAATAGACAAACTTGAACACAACCCCATTGCCGCATTCTAGTTCCCGTCGATAACCTATCTTTGACGGCCAACCAAGTTATAAACGCAAACCGAGGGACTGCTTGAGAGAACCATATTACCTTACACCACTCAACCTCATCATACTGAAGACGGATTTGATCCCATGTCCTTGTTGTAGAGAATGTGGGACTGTATTCTTCTGGAAAATGACGCCACAAGTTCACATCTTCCACAAGTTCATGAATTTGAATTATTCGTCGTGAGAACTTCAATTTGATCTATTATTTACAAAAAATTTATAAACATGACGGTGATGAAAAAGTGTTATTATGCGAATTATTTTTGATTTTGCGAAAGTAACTCTATTTTTTAGGAATGAAAGAGAAAGTAAAAAAAATGACGACTCATATAGTTTTGTTTTCCAGAAAACTCTTACAATAATTTCATATTTTTGCAAATTAGCAATTTATATCAAAAATTGTTATTTATTAGAACATGAACTATTACTTTACTTTTTTTTTTTTTTTTTTTGACGTCTAGATTTATTATTTATTGCAAATTATGAAAACTGTTACATAGACGATTCTACAACGGATAATTCCTTCCGACCCTTATTAGATCCACGACAGACGATACTTCCTTCTCCATGCTCTTGACGGACACCTTCAATGATCCACGATTTGACGACACTTTTCTCTCTGCGTAGAATCCTGGCGAACGGCTATAATTGTACTTCGCTGGAGATCTCCTGCACACTTGCCACCTTTAGTCTGCAAATTTATTAATAAATCGCAATATCTGGGACTCGAACCTCAGATCTTTTGGTGTAGAAGCATTAATTAATCTTTGGTCAACCAATTGGCCAAGGGGCTTCCACATAACTATTACTTTACTTTTTATATAGATTTTTGGAAAGGTTTTTAATAATTCGTTTTATTTGGTGTAGGAAAAAAATACTTTGGACAAGAAAGAAGGCTCTGGTCGGATCGTGACACACCGACCTTTGACCGGTTCATCATAACGTGTCCGGTTTTATGGTTAAATCGTCAGAAAGTGGAAAAAAGTTATTTAAGATTCAATTACTTAATGATTAATTATTTGCTTCAACATCTATACAACTTTTTATCAAACAAAACGACATTTTCACATTCCTTTTTCTTTCTTTATTCACTAAGATTCTTTGTCAGATTAATTTAATTTAATAAAATTTATATTTCTGACATGTTCTGTTACGTTTGATACAGAAGAATAATCGGAAGAGAATGCTTCTCGACATCTCCGACCACGACGCTGGCACTATATAATAAGTAATAACATTCGTATAAATCAAATATTGAACTTTTGTAACAAAAAAACAAATTCAGTAATTTAATTTTTTTTTTTACCAAAATATTAAGGTAGAGAGAGGAAGAAGAGCGAAGTTTGCTCCCACCCATTATCTCTCTCTCAGAAAATTAAAAAAACAGATTCAATTGTTGCACGTTCTTTCCTCAATTTGATTTTGATTTACAACCAAAAAAGACCTTTAAGTTTCTTTTGTGGGTCTATCAAAAAACCGAAACTTTTCTCTTTCTTTCTCGAGAAAAATTACCTTTTTTTCGTTTCTTATTACGAAGAGAAAGAGAGAGATTGTTAAAAACGGTTCAAACACATAGAGAATTTGAATGAGAAGGATCCGATCAACAAAAACTAAAACTTTACGACGATGCTGCAGAGAGCTGCGAGTAATGCGTATTCATGGTGGTGGGCGAGTCATATCCGAACCAAACAATCTAAATGGCTCGAACAAAACCTTCAAGGTCTCTCCTTTTCTCATCCATCTCTCTCTCTCTCTCTCTATCTATATATGTGTTTGATTGTGTTGATTAAAAGAAAAGTTGAGATCTTTGAGGTTGATCTAAAAGGATTTTTGTTTTGGATATGAATTTGTAGATATTGAAGAGAAGGTTCAATATGTGTTGAAGCTGTTACAAGAAGATGGAGATTCGTTTGCGAAACGTGCAGAGATGTATTACAAGAAGAGACCAGAGCTCATTAGCTTTGTTGAAGAATCTTATAGAGCTTATAGAGCTTTAGCTGAACGTTATGATCATATTTCTACAGAGCTTCAAAATGCTAACACCACGATTGCCTCTGTTTTTCCTGACCAAGTCCCAAACTTTGCCATGGATGATGATGATGATGTGTCTAGATTCGCCAAAAGATCGAATATTTCTGGTGCTAATGTCCCTAATGTTCCGAAATTGCCTGTTAAGGATTTGAAGAGCGCGGTTAAAGTGGCTACGAAGAAGCTTCAGCCGAGGAAATCTATGAAGTACACGGGTGGTTCTACGAATGTGGTTGTTAAGAGCTCGGGTTTGAGTAAGCCTGAGGCCATGGGGGAGATTGATAAGTTGCAGAAAGAGATTTTGGCCTTGCAGACGGAGAAGGAGTTTGTGAAGAGCTCTTACGAGATTGGTTTGTCTAAGTATTGGGAGTTTGAAAAGGGTATTAAGGAGAAACAAGAGAGGATCTGTGGTTTGCAGGATGAGTTTGGTGAGAGTGTTGCGATTGAAGACGATGAAGCTCGGAGATTGATGACCGAGACTGCGATAAAGTCTTGTCAGGAGAAGCTAGTGGAGTTGCAGGAGAAGCAAGAGAAGTCTTATGAAGAAGCTAGAGAAGAGCATGTGAAGATTAAGGAGTCTAAAGAGAAACTAAGATCTATGGCAAGCCAGTTTTTAGGAGACGAAAGTGTCTTTGCAAAAGACGATGGTGATGAAGTTAGAAGAACAGAAGAGTTGGAGCATGAGATCAAAGAGATGTCTAGAAAGAAGAAAGAGTTGGAATCTGTAAAGGAGAAGATTAGAGAACATTTTGAGTCTGGTGCGAATTCATCGCTCAACGCTACAGATATGGCTGAGAAAGTCGATGAGCTTGTGAATAAAGTGATTAGCTTGGAGAGCGCGGTTTCCTCGCAGACTGCTTTGATACAGAGACTAAGAAACGAGACCAACGGTCTTCAGACACAGATCAGTACTCTTGAGACAGATAAGGCTTTGTTAGCAGACGACAAGAGTGATCTGAGGAATAAGCTGAGGGAAATGGAAGAGAAACTCAAGGCATTGCAGGATTTGGACAGAAATGTTTTGGACAAGAGTAGCAACCTGCAGACACATTTTGATGACGCTTGTCATAACCTCGATAACCTCTCTGGTGGGAACCTGCATGAGGTGAAGCCAGAGAGCGAGTCTGGTAACTTGGCAATGAATCTGGAATCGCAGAAAGATCTGGAAGGTGAGAAGAGGACTTTAGACATCAGTGAAGAGACAAAGGAACATCAAAAGGAAATGGGTGAGGAGAAGAAAGAAGCACCTGAGAAGAGTGTAAAATTCGAGCAGACCCACAATGCGACAATAGAAGCAGAAGATATTATCATCCCAAGTACAAATCCAGAAACTGTTTCGGAATCTACTGAAAAAGTAGATTCTGATTTAGAGAAGCAAGGTGCATCTGATAATACAGATTCTGTTCTTGATAATGTTTTGGAGAAGCAAGGTGCGTCTGATACGACAGATTCTGTGCCGAATAATGTTGTAGAGAAGGAGATATCTTCTAAAGAATCTGATATCACTTTCAATAGTGAAGAACAAGAGGATCGAAAGGAGAAAGAAAGTGAACCAGATTGGAAAGAGATGTTCATGAAGGGAATGGAAAACAGGGAAAAGCATTTGCTTACAGAGTACACGGCTATTCTCAGAAACTACAAGGATATGAAGAAAACTTTGGATGAAACCAAGACAAAGATGAAGACAGAAAATGCGACAAAAGATGATGAGATCAAGCTACTAAGAGAGAAAATGAGCCTCCTGCAGAAGGGTCTAGGAGACAGTAATGACTTGATGGAAAACCAATTGTCAAACGACGACTATTCGATCGGTTTCATGGCTGCAGAAAACCAGAACATGTCCCTGGTTGAGGAACAGTTCAGGTTGAATATTGATGAGCTTCTAGAAGAGAATTTGGATTTCTGGTTAAGGTTCAGCACAGCATTTGGACAGATACAGAGCTACGATACTTCAATCGAAGATTTACAAGCCGAGATATCAAAGCTTGAGCAAAGAAGAAAGCAAGATGGAAGCAGCACAGCCAAATATGCCCTGAGATCAGATGTTCGACCACTGTATGTACACTTAAGGGAAATAAACACAGACCTGGGGCTCTGGCTGGAGAAAGGTGCTTCCTTGAAAGAGGAACTGAAATCCAGATTTGAGTCGCTGTGTAACATACAGGATGAGATAACAAAAGCCCTGAAGTCAAGTGCTGAAGACGATGATTTCAGATTCACGAGCTATCAAGCTGCTAAATTTCAAGGTGAGGTGTTGAACATGAAGCAGGAGAACAACAAAGTGGCAGACGAGTTACAGGCCGGGTTAGATCACATTACCACGCTTCAACTCGAGGTTGACAAGACTCTAGGAAAGCTGATAGAGGAGTTTGCTCTTTCGGGTTCAAAGAACAAATCTGATCTTGATCTCCAGCATTCAGATAGCCGCTCAAGAGTACCCTTAAGGTCATTCATCTTTGGCTCCAAACAGAAGAGAGCAAAGCCGTCCATATTCTCCTGCATGCATCCCTCACTATATAGAAAGATGAAGACTTCTACATAGGTAATATTTACATATTATATACTACATACTATCCAGAGAGTTAATTGATTCATATACTGTAATTTATCAGATTCATGGAGGATTTGATTCATTCGTGTCTTTTTTACCTGTATTTCCCTGGGGAGGTTGACCTGTTTTTATCCCCCATTCCCTCTCTTCTTTTTTTCGGTTTGCGAGATTGAAACAATAGCTTTTGTGTGTTGGTTATATCCTTTTTGAGTATTGTAGATTGTTCACAGTTTGTAACTGGTGAAGCAAGAGGAATGTCTTCAGGCTTTTTACATTTTCTTTGTTTTCATCAAAATTTGTATGTTCAGAACCATTACAGGAAACAGAGTTTGTGATTTTATGTATTTTCATTATGGTACAAAAATAGGCAATAGTTCTCCAATAACCTTGTGAGACTATGCTATAGGACTAAGAGCCATTATCTCCCCAAAAAAACTCGGAAGTGTAAAATCAGACTGAACATATATTATGTCATTCTGCAACAGTTATGCTTGATTTTCAGTGAACAAGCTAAAATTAGACAAAAGTTCTGCAACAATGCTATAAGACTATGCTAAGAATCTTAGAGCCATTATTTCTCAAAATTGTGTAAATTCAGATTGAAAATTTTATTTAGACAGATGAGAAACTCATTTTATTTGTCATTCTGAAACAGTTACACAAGAGTTGATCTTCAGAGAACAAGATTCATGAACAATTTACACGAAAAGAAAAGAGAGGAAAACTCAACAATTTACTGAAATATTTGATATCAAGAGTGTTATGTTTATAAACGAGATAGTTTTTCAAGTCTCAAAATAAATTTTAGAGACTACCTTAGCTCCTCTTCCTTTAGCCATATATAGACCTACATGGTGCATCAACTCCTGGTACATAGAAACATAGCAGAAGAATAAGAAGATGAACCGATTCGACCAGAAAAAATTAAACTAAACATGCTAATTTCAGAAGCATCAAACTATTCACCTGAGGATGAGCCTGAGCGCCTTTGATATCTTTCGCAACATGAAGAGGGAGGTCAAAAGTAGCGCAGCCACGCGAGTAAACTACCACATCTTCTAGGGGAGAAAGAACACCGTGGTTTCGGGCAGAGAGTGCAGTAGCCACAAAATCAAACACACATATGTCTGTACAGATACCTACAACCACAATCTTTAGATCCCCAAAACATAGGGATGTTCAAGGAAGTTAAAGATATGATTCCTAAAAGCAGTAAACTTGTTTAACATAACTGATCATACATATCATCAAAAGAAAACTTACAACTTTGATCTGTTTTTCCTTAATCCAATCCACAAAAACATTAGAACCATCTTTCTCCATCGAACCCACAAACCCATCAATACAATCCTTTCGCCTAAGAGTGGCACAATTCTCACTTTCAAGCCATTTCAGAGCTGATTCATTATTATCAAAAGAAGAAAGAAATCAAGACACTATCTTCACTGGTTATAAAATCAAACAAAGACATTAACAGAGCTACAATACCAGGAACAAGTTCAGCTTCTTCAGTTCCTATAATACAATGAGGAGGATAAGGTATCTCCGGAATATCCGGATGATGAGAGTCAATAAAGGCCAAAACCGGCCATTTCCGATCACAGAACTCTCTAGCAAGCTTTGCACTTTCCTCCACCATCTTCGATATTTGTTCATTATGCTTTGTTGGAGCCTGCAAAATCACAAGTCAAACAACTTCACTTAGGCAATATCACAAACACTTGGAAGACATTAAGAAACAAAAACAAACAAAGTCGCAATTTTTGCGAGAAATTATATCAATTCGTTAAAAAAAAACGTTTGAATGAAGCAATATCACAAACACTTGGAAGACATAAAGAAAAATAATCAACCAAAGTTCCAATTTTTTTCGAGAAATTGAACCAAACCATATTGCCGGAGCCAATTGTGCAGAAGCCATTAACAACGTCAACGATGACGAGACCAACGCTCGAGTCTCGATTCAAATTGAGAGATTCTTCTTCATCCACTGGTATCTGCTTCTTTAGCTGATCGAATATCGTTTCATGATTCGCCATATCGATACGAGATTTGAAGAAATTGAGAAAACTGGATCAAAATTTTCTAAGTAGAGGAGAAATGCGAAGCAAGTTCTGGTCATGTTACAATTTTCAGAAATCTAAAGTTTTGTTTTAATAATTCAAAAAATGACATTGTCAACAACTGGGGGTGTAGCTCATATGGTAGAGCGCTCGCTTCGCATGCGAGAGGCACGGGGTTCGATTCCCCGCACCTCCACTTTTTTAAATTCTTTCTTTATAGTATTTGTTTCTCTTGTTCGTTCAGACGACAGCAGATTATGGGCTAACAAAACTATCCCGTAAAATGAAAACAGTTCCCCCAGTCACACGTGAAGCCCTTCCAGTGTTTTTTTTTTTTTTTAATGCTTTTATAACTCAAACTTTGTTTTTTATCCATCAAAAATGAACCTTTATGTTTTTGGAAATTTTCTCGTTTTTATGCAGAACTGATCATAAATATACGGAATGAAAAATGGCATAATGAAATTACTTTTTAAAAAAATATGTTGATTAATATATACATATATTTAATAAACAAAATAATGTTTTTACTAATTTTTAAGTAATAATTGATAATAAAAATATATAAATAAAAATATATAAATATTAAAAACTTAAATATCATAAAAATAGTATAAGTTTATTGTAAATACCTTTCTGATTGCTAAATATTTTGTATGTATAAAATAATAAAAATCCTTTATGCAAATAAACAACTATATATACTCAACTTATTTGTATAATGAGATTTTACTTTTATTTTTTAGGCGAAAACACAAATTCTGCGTTTTTGTGTGTTTCTAATGCTATTGGCAAACTTTGTTGCATAATAACATTAAAAAACGTTATTCCGCCCAATTACCAATAGAAGCCTGTATCTGTATAATGATAACTCAAGATTTACCATACGTCTTACCAACCTAAGGGGGTGTTATTCAATGGTGGAGTTAAAGTCAATTCTTTAAGGTTTAGATTTGTTTTCTGATATTGGTTTTAAGAATCTGTTTGTGTGGATTTCAAAATCTCTGCAGTATATCTTGGATTTTGATTCTAATAATTTACTCATAAAACTCCAAAGAGGTTTTATTTGAAATGACTTAATATACAAAAATTTTACAAGTCTTTTAGTTTTGAATAACACTGGATTTTACAAATCTGAAAGAATTGATTTTAACTCCACCATTGAATAACACCAAATTTTTAAAATCTAATGAAGTATAAGATCTAATAACACCAGATTTTAACGTTAGATTTATAATCATTAGTTGAATAACACTGGATTAGTGTTGGATTTCAATTCTATTAAAATCCATGAATAACACCACCTAAATTAATCTCACCCGTTCATTTGTAGACTCACCTACAACATCTGCTTCCACAATCACATGAAATAAAAAAACTGTACTTTTATCGTATGATATTATAAATAACCACGTCCCCACTGAGATTTCGTAAATATCTTTCTGCTTGCCTATAAATGAATATAGTCAAAAGTTACATATTATCAGAGTGACAATGACAAACTTCAAATACAACAATGGAGATGAAACAAAGCTCCACGTGGTAATGTCTCCATGGTTAGCCTTTGGTCATATGGTTCCATATTTGGAGCTCTCTAAGCTCATAGCTCAAAAGGGTCACAGTCTCTTTCATGTCTACTCAGGGCCGGCTCAGACCTAAAGCCCATCAAACATGTGCTTTAAGCATCATATTATATTTTAGTTTTTAAGGGGCATTAAATTTCAGAAAAGATCTTGTAGTACAGTGGTTAATGTCTCATTTATTGCTGGAATTGACGAGTTTGAGTGACATTAAGACGAATTTTTAACATTTTTTTTGTATTTTTGTTGGTTAATGAGTAACAAAAACATTTTGGGCTTTAGGCATCCAAATCCTTTGGGCCGGCCCTGTCCACTCCACGTAACATCGATCGTCTCCTCCCACGGTTGCCGGAAAATCTCTCCTCCATCATTAACTTCGTCAAGCTCCCACTTCCCGTCGGCGACAATAAACTCCCGGAAGACGGTGAAGCTACCACCGACGTGCCTTTCGAACTCATACCTTACTTAAAAATCGCTTTCAACGGGTTAAAAGTTCCGGTGACGGAGTTTCTTGAATCTTCGAAACCCGATTGGGTTCTTCAAGATTTCGCGGCGTTTTGGCTTCCTCCAATCTCTCGTCGTCTCGGAATCAAAACCGGATTCTTTAGCGCTTTCAACGGCGCGACGCTCGGGATTCTTAAACCGCCGGGATTCGAAGAGTACCGTACTTCTCCCGTTCTCCGGCGGATTTTATGAAGCCGCCTAAGTGGGTCCCGTTCGAAACTCCGGTAGCTTTCAAGTTATTCGAATGCCGGTACATATTCAGAGGATTCATGGCGGAAACCACCGAAGGGAATATTTCCGACATCCACCGTGCCGGCGGCGTAATTGACGGCTGTGACGTCATCTTCGTACGAGTATGAAGCAGAGTGGTTAGGACTTATGCAAGATCTTCACCGGAAACCGGTTATACCGGTGGGAGTTTTACCTCCAAAACCGGAAGAAAAGTTTGAAGATACCGACACGTGGCTGACTGTTAAAAAGTGGTTGGACTTACGGAAAAGTAAGTCCGTTGTTTACGTAGCTTTTGGTTCAGAAGCTAAACCGAGTCAAACGGAGCTGAATGAGATCGCTCTTGGTTTAGAGCTTTCCGGTTTACCTTTCTTCTGGGTGTTAAAGAATCGGCGTGGTCCGTGGGATACCGAACCGGTTGAGCTTCTAGAAGGATTCGAGGAGCGTACAGCGGATAGAGGTATGGTGTGGAGAGGTTGGGTTGAGCAATTGAGAACATTGAGCCATGACTCGATCGGTTTGGTTCTAACTCATCCCGGTTGGGGAACGATAATTGAAGCTGTCCGGTTTGCTAAACCGATGGCAATGCTGGTTTTTGTGTACGACCAAGGATTAAATGCGAGAGTAATCGAAGAGAAGAAAATTGGTTATATGATCCCTCGGGATGAAACAGAAGGTTTCTTTACTAAAGAAAGTGTTGCGAAATCACTAAGATTGGTAATGGAGGAAGACGAAGGAGAGGTTTATAGAGAGAATGTGAAGGAGATGAAAGGAGTGTTTGGAGACATGGATAGACAAGATCATTATGTGGATTCATTCTTGGATTATCTTGTTGCTAATCGTTAAGTTTGAGCATGGAGTCTTGATCCAATGGCGGGTTAATTGAATGAACTTGTGATACTTATAATAATGGAATTTGATCAAGTGTTGCAACGATGATCAATGTATAATATTATGATGTTTTGGAATGGTCAAGTTTTTTTTAGTACAAAAAAAGTTTAACGTCTCATGTGTTGCACATTTTTTATAGTAACAATTCATCTTCTTGTATTAGCAAGAACATCGAGCAAAATTGTGAAACCAATCTAAGGCCTAAACAAAATGGTCGGACCGAAACTAAGAAACCGAACCAAATATAAGACAAAGAATGGTCTTTGTGATTAGGAGCACTATCTTCAATTTTCTATTTTTTCCTTGTTTGTAGAATCCATAATTCTAAGTTTCTAACTTCTTGTAATGTTTTCCTATTTAAGAGAAGAAAACCCAGAGAGCAACGGTAAATTATGTTTGTATGTTAAACCATGTGTTTTAAATTTTCTAAGCTTGTTATTGAAACCATATTCGTGGTATCAGAACTTCCATTTTGATTTTGATATGGAGCATAATTTGTGCTATCAAAACCGCACAAAAAAAACAAAAAAGACCACCTTGTGTAGTAATTCGTCTTTTTATTTTGGCTTTAATCCGAGTCATGAATTGTGGTATCAAATAATCTATACAAAAGAGGAAGAAAACTTTGTTCATCCTCAATTGCGTCTCCACATTCAAATTTTTCTTCTCCAAAACTTTGATTCAGTTGGAACGAATAAGTCACTTGGAAGAACATGTTCTTGTTGTGTTGTGGAAAAGATTTTTAGGATTTTCAGCGAACATTGAGGACAAGGTACTTTAGAAGACGAACATATTGGTGCAAATACAGGATCAACAAACAACCACAAGATGGATGGATCGACTAATAAACGGAACAAAGAATATTCAATTAAGGGGGTGATTGGAAGGCTTTAAAAGTTTTTAACTTTTTTCTGTAAGGTTTTTAAAGTTTAATTTTTACCAATCACACTTTAATTATTTAAAAGTTTCCTAATTTTTCTCACAGTCCATTTTATTCCTTCATTTTTAAAGCCTCATAAACCTCACTTTAGAAATCTAAAAAATAAAAGCTAACAGTTTTTTTTCTCATTTTTTCTTTCCCAAATGTATAAACTTCTCATAAAAAAAAAAATTGAACTTGATGTCATGATGATGAATTTTGATAAACATGCAATATTCATACATAAATTTGTGGTTATGTCATCGTTTGGATTTTTGTTTTGATTTATTTACGGCAAAATAAATTTATTCATTCAAATTCGAAACAGACGAGTTTTTTTAATAGAAAACCAGTCCAAAATAGAAGAGCTTACATGGAAAAATATAGAACCACGTGATCGTACATATTTTGCAATGCAGTCAGCACATATGTTGTTACAACATAGAATACATGATAAAGTAAAAGAGGGAAAAAAGAGTTTCATAGTTTGGATTTAAATCCGGTATAATTTATATTGTTTAAAGTTATAATTTTTATAGTCACAATTTTTACTAATCAGTTTTAATATTTTTAAAATTAAAGTCTAACAAAAGTTACTACAGTTAGTCTCTCTAGCCTAATGTAATCTTTGACTTTTAGTTAATCATTGATAATAAAGAGTGATCTTCTTTGTGCTTACTGTTTAGGAGGACAATGTCTACTTTCCTTTGTTTGTAAGGAATTCATGATTCCCACTTTATGTACCATGTTTCTATTTTAGAAAGAAAAAAAAAATGTTGAAGTATAAAGACATATTATTGTAATCTTTCTAAGATCGTGATCTGGACCGCATCAATTAAAAACGAATATTGAGGATTTTTCTAGCTAATGCAACTGCGAGAGAGTTCTACAAACGAGGAACTAAAGTTTATTAATATATATAAAAAAAAAAAAAAAAGAGAAGGAAAACCATAACTCAAATTTTGGAAAATGGTTATTCAAAGAAAACATCAAATTGAATTTGAATGAGTTCAAGTTACTAGGTTAAATCTTTTATTGTTGATTATATTTATATTGGACTAATTACGTTGGAAAAACTTAAAAGTTGATAAGTTCTCAGGCAATCATCCGTTGATACATACTATGGTTTTTATATGGTTTCAACTTTTATAAAACCAAAAAACAGTAATACCGTAAAAATAGAACTGCAACCAAACCAAATTACATATTGTTTTTATATGGTTTCAGTTTTATTAGGAATGTGGTCTAACTTAACCCAAAAGTTAGCTCAAGAGTTAAGGATTGTCACATCCTTTATATACTTCCCAAAGACCTTAATCCCAAGCAATGTGGGAGATTCTAATAGGCCTTCTCGAGATGTGGGTGGGAAACGGTCCAACGGAAAACAGCCCAAGCCCAACATCTCGGAAATACAACAAGACATGCCACTTATATGGGCCACATAGGTAGGAAACCATTTTTGTGGGAATTTGCTTGTTGGGCCAACCTTGGGCTCTGATACCATATTAGGAATGTGGCCTAAGTTAACCCAAAAGCTAGCTCAAGAGTTAAGGATTGTCACATCCTTTATATACTTTCCAAAGATCTTAATCCCAAGCAATGTGAGAGATTCTAATAAGTTTCTATAAAACCGTAAAATTAAAAAAAAAAAACGAACCAAACTAAACCGAAAAACCAAACGCCCCACCCCTAAACAGTAAACACCACACTTGCAACAGATACAAATGTTTTGACTTTAAAACTTTACGTCAGTCATACCTTTTAAAACTTTTAAAAGGAACTAGACAAAAATGGGAGAGATATTTGTCGGTTGCGACATACCACGTAACTTTTAAAAACATTTTAAAGTCTTAAAATCCTCATCCAATCACCCCTTTGACAAAAATTTAGCGTTTGCGTTTTGAAACGCTGAACGTAATCGCCCGAGTGAACGTTTGACAAAATCGAAACTTAAGATTGTCAATTTCCTTCACCCATTATTAACCTTTCCTTTTCTACAATCATACTGATATAAAATCTCTGCGAAAATCGTGGTGATTTCAGAGATTCTCGCGTCCTAAGTAAAATCAAATCGTGGTTTTACCCTTTTTAACTCTCTCTATAAATCAAAAACTGATCTTTTAGCGTTTTAAAAAAATAAAAAAACAGATCTTTAGCGTTTTCTCGTTCCCGCTAACTTCACCGTGACTTCAACGAAGAGTCGTTTCACTAAATTGCGCCGCCATGAGCAACCGCCGTGGAGTAACAACCGCCGTGTCGAAACGGCGTCCGGTGATTCACGTGTTACCAGACGAAACAGCGATACGAGTAGTCTGCCACGCGTCAGTAATCGGCGGTATCATCGGTTCAAATGGTTACGTTGTTTCCAAACTCCGTCGTGAAACCGGTACAAAAATCCATTGCGAGTCTCCGGTTAACGGCTCCGATCACTGGGTTGTCTTCATCGTTGGTTCAACCGCTGTTAACAAAAGTGTTCTATTGACTGATAGAGTCGGAGATTTCTCCGGCGGTGAACACGAAGATTGGGTGACTTGTGATGTTTCCGCAGCTCAGACGGCGTTGATTAGGGTTTTGGAGAGATCATGGGTTGTTTTAGCGGCGAAGGATGGCGGCGGAGTTGTTGATGGTGAGGATGAAGAAGCTTATTGTGGGATTTTGGCTGATCGGAATCAGATTGGTGCTGTTTTGGGTTTGGGTGGGAAGAATGTGGAGTGGATGCGGAGAAGTTCTGGTGCCATGATTAGGGTTTTGCCTCCTCCGATTTGCGGCACTAACACTGATGAACTCATTCAGGTTAGGGTAAAACTAAAACTTTAAAGTCTTTAGCTTTTTGAAAAATTCTGGGTTTAGTGTTGAAGAAGTAGAAGCAGTAACATTGTGGTGATGTATGTAAAAATCGAAAAAGTTGATAAATTTGTTTCTTTTTTTGGTTTTTGATTTGTGAATGTCACTTCTTTGTGTGTATTAGATTACTGGCGATGTCTTGGCTGTGAAGAAGGCACTAGTTATGGTATCGACTTGTATTCAAGATAATCCACCTGTCAACGGGTATCCACAGCCGCTTTGCATCAAAGCTTACGAGTCATCTACTGATGGGAACTCAGAGGATCCACATTCTGAGTTTTTTCCAAACCTGCGTTCTTCGGTGCCTAATGCTTCAGATTCTGCTTCGTCGAATAGACATTTACCAGCGGTGTATGATGAAGGAAATGGTACAGAACGAAAAGTTGTGTTCAAGATAATCTTCACAAGTGTTGTAGCTGGAGGCATTATTGGGAAACAAGGAACAATTATCAGAGCTCTGCAGAATGAAACAGGTGCTTCTATTTCGATTGGAGCTCCATTGAAAGTATCCGGTGAGCGAGTTGTTACTATTTCTGCACGTGAGGTATAGGTTTCTATTCTCATGCTTGCTGCTATATGTTTATCCGAGTTTCTTTGTTGACATAATCACATTCGCTTTGTTTTTTTTCTTAGAACCTCGAGTCACGGTACTCTCATGCACAAAATGCTCTGGCTCTTGTCTTTGCAAGATCTGTTGAGATTGATGTTGAGAAAGGTCTGCGTCCGGGATTGCACAATGGTGCTGTAGTGAAAACTAAGCTATTGGTACCATCGCAATTTGCTAATAGCTTAGTTGGAAACGGAAACAGAGAAGCAATCATAGCAACCGGTGCTGATGTACACATTCCAGTAGACAACCAGATTTTAGAATGGATCTCAGAAAATGAAGTGGTGATTGAGGTAACTGCGTGTTAACTTGTAATCAGTGTATGCTTTTTCCCTTAGAGATGAGAACATTGCACAATTAACCGAGATTTGCTCCTTTTGATTCGCTTATTGTTTTCAGATTAAGGGAGAGTATGGTCATGTACAGAAGGCCTTGACTCATGTTTCATCCAAATTACGGGAAAACCTATTGCCAAAGAAGGTCCTCGGAGAAATGAGAGCTAGAGTTAGTAATCCATATGAAAGTGCAGGAACAAGCCAGATTTATAATCTGAAACAATCACAACAAGTAAGTGTGTTTCTTTCCCCCAAGCTAGAGTTTAGTTGCTTCCATCTAATCTTTATTCAACAAAACCGCAGAACTCAAGCAGAGGTGATTCTCTCTCGGTATCAGATGGTGAACAAAACTTTAAGATGGTCAGAAGCGGTGCAGAAGTAATGAAATTGAATTCTGTAATGCACACCGAGGTCCTTAAAGAGGTGGATGAACTCAAAGGCTTTACACTTCCACAAAGTTTGCTGGAGGATGACTTGACACAGGAAATGAAACAGCTTCAGATGTCTAGGAATGGAGACGTCTCTTCTTTACCACAACGGTCTGTTCTTGCCAAACAACAACGGTTCCATGTTGTTAACAATCATTCTCGATGAATATTACAACAGAGTTGGTTTTTGTTTTGAAGCAGAGGTAAAGGTGTATATGTGAGAAAAATCACATTGGAGTTAACCGTCGAGAAAGATGCTCTTGGTTCACTCTATGGCAGAGATGGCACCGGTGTGGATAATCTACGACAGGTACATAAATCAGACCTTCTTGCAATATATCCCATAAGATGCTAGACAATGAAGTTGATTGAGAGTTCTTGCAAACTTACAGATTTCAGGAGCCGGAGTGGATGTGAAGGATCCTACAGGAATTGAAGCGACGGTCTTAATAATCTCCGGGAATCCTGAGCAAACCCGCACAGCGATGTCTTTGATCGAGTCAATCCTTGATGATCAATGATTGTGTGTATGCAACTACTTTTGGTTTGTTTCGTTTTGTCTATTCCCAAAACTCCAGCCTTATTTTTTGTGACTGGTTTTTGAAAACTAGCATTTGTTGCTCGTTAGAATCTAATGCAGTGTTGTTATCTTAGAAGAATACAACATTTTGCCGGTTTACCAATGCCGGTTCACGATTCATTTTGTCGGTTTACCAATACCGCAATACAACAACAGCCAAGAAAATTTTAAAATCATACCAATACCGGGTTACGTTTCATTTTACCGGTCTGATGTGTTCGGTTTGGTTAAAAGTTAATATGGACTATGGGCCCAATACAAAAAAGTGAAGGCCCATGTAAACTTTACGGGGAACGGTAACACAAATAATCTTAACGGTCGTCTTCGGAGATTTCAAAATTTAAACACAAAACGCAGAAAAGGAAAATCAAATAATTCCTCCGGTCACGCCTTTCTCTTATCTCTCTCTCTCTCTCTCTCTCTCTCTCTCTCTCTCTCTCTCTCTCTCTCTCTCTCTCTCTCTCTCTCTTTTATCTTTCTCTGCATATCATAAGCTTTTCAATTTATTCATCTACGAAACGATTTGCTTTTGGGATTTGGAGAAGTTTCATAATGGAAGATGTTCAGATCGATGCTACTGTTCCGGTGGATCCAAATGTCACGTCACTTTGTTCACCGAAGATTCCTAATTTCGAATTTATTAGTGATGAAACAGAGAAATTAGAGATCGGAGATACTTCCATTGATGACTGTGATGATTCTTTGGGCGATTCCATGGTGTGTGATCCGAATTCAAGATTGGTTCCCACTGGCTTCACAAGACCTAATCACACAGGTTCAATTCTCTCACTTTCGATTTCAATTTTACAAAATCGAGTTTGATCTTGGGTTTTGGATCTGATTCTTTTACCCGATTACTTAGTGTTAAACCCTAGGGTTTCAATGAGAGTTATGCATTGAGGGATTGATTTTTGTTATTGGTGTTAGCAGATGAGACAATTATGTTCATAAATGCTGGAGGAGATGATTCAAAGGTATTAGATTCTGAATTGAATATCCTCAGAGACACCTATTTCGAAGGAGGGGATGTGCTTAGAACAGAAGAGTCTATAGTTGAAGCTGGAGACTTTCCGTTCATTTATCAGTCAGCACGTGTTGGGAACTTTTGTTACCGGTTAAACAATCTTCTTCCTGGAGAGTACTTGATCGATTTCCATTTCGCGGAGATTATTAATACCAATGGACCTAAAGGGATAAGGGTTTTCAATGTCTATGTTCAGGATGAGAAGGCAAGTAGAACAACTGAAGATGGTGTTTTTTTTTTTCATGTAGTTATGAATATGAGATTTGTGTAAATGCTGAAAGAAGTGTTTTTGTTATGTTTCAGGTGTTAGCTGAGTTTGATATATTCTCTGTTGTTGGCGCAAATAGGCCACTCCTGTTGGTTGACTTAAGGGTCATGGTAATGGATGATGGATTGATTAGGGTAAGGTTTGAAGGAATAAATGGAAGTCCAGTGGTTTGTGGGATTTTTCTGAGGAAAGCGCCACAGGTTTCAGGTAATGGCTCTTCTCTTGTGCTTGCTTTTAACTTGTTTAGGGAATCTTCAAAGTTTTCAGTTTCCAACTCATTCGTTGCATTACTTTACAGTTCCAAGGACATCACAAGATTATATTAAGTGTGAGAATTGTGCTACCGAAATAGAGATTTCTCCTACTCGGGTACTGTTTAACTAGTTTTGCTGGTTCGTATTCCTAAAAATATAAGTGTTATGGATTACCTGAGCTTCTTCTTTATTTATGTTGATATTTGAGCAGAAAAGACTTATGCGAGCCAAAGCTCATGACAAGTATGAGAAGAAGATAGCAGAGCTTTCTGAACGATACGAACATAAGACAAATGAATGCCACGAAGCATGGATGTCATTGACCTCTGCCAATGAGCAACTAGAGAAAGTGATGATGGAACTCGACAATAAGATGTACCAGGCACGCTCTCTAGGTAATGAACTTGTCATTATATCACATGTGGGTGAAAGTGGGAAAAATTCCCATCAATGTCAATGTCAATCCAAATTTGTTACTATTATGTCTTTTTTTGACGGAGGTTTTCTTACTTGATTCGGTGCTTACTTGAAACAGACCAAACTGTGGTAACACAAGCTGATTGTTTGAAGAGTATCACTAGCAAGTATGAGAATGACAAGAGACATTGGGCCACAGCACTTGATACTCTGCAGGAGAAAATAGAGGTAGCTGTGTATTTCCTCAAGTACTGTTGTATCCAGTATATATGTTTTTGAAAGATTTCTTTTTGGAACTTATGAAACTGTTGCTGTGCAGATAATGAAAAGGGAACAATCTCAGCTATCACAAGAAGCACATGAATGCGTGGAAGGGATCCCCGAATTGTATAAAATGGTTGATGGAGTTCAGGCACTAGGTGAGTTTATTACCTCCACTCATTTGGTCTGAAGATGGGATTTAAAAGGGAAATTTGATGAACTAATACAATATCAACTCGTAAAAACAGTTTCACAGTGCGAAGATCTCAAGCAGAAGTACAGTGAAGAGCAAGCAAAGCGAAAGGAGCTGTACAACCATATACAAGAGACTAAAGGCAATGAATCTTATTTAGATTATTGATTTGCTTTAGCTTCTTTACATCATACTTTAATAATTTACTGATAGCATGCATCCTTATATCAGGCAATATTAGGGTCTTTTGTCGCTGCCGCCCTTTGAATAAGGAGGAGACATCAACTAAGTCTGCCACAATTGTTGACTTTGATGGAGCAAAAGATGGAGAGCTTGGTGTTATTACAGGAAATAATTCCAAGAAAAGTTTCAAGTTTGACAGAGTTTATACACCGAAAGATGGTCAAGGTAGTGTGATATGTCATGGTCAAGTTAGATCATTAAGTATAAATAACACTAATAATTAACAAAGTTTCTATCTTTATTCCGCAGTTGATGTTTTTGCCGATGCTTCTCCTATGGTTGTTTCAGTCCTAGACGGCTACAATGTTTGTATTTTTGCCTACGGACAAACAGGAACAGGAAAGACGTTTACAATGGAAGGTACTCCACAGAACAGGGGTGTTAACTATAGAACCGTCGAGCAATTGTTTGAAGTTGCTAGAGAAAGGAGAGAGACAATTTCATATAACATATCGGTTAGTGTCCTTGAGGTCTACAATGAACAGATAAGAGACTTGTTGGCAACATCACCAGGGTCAAAGAAGTAAGAATTCTCTACCTAATTAAATCGTAAACAAATAGGGATTGAAACAGAAGTTTATCTTAATTCTTTTTGGATTTTGCTACCAAGGTTGGAGATAAAACAATCCTCTGATGGCTCTCATCACGTTCCTGGATTAGTAGAAGCAAAAGTGGATAATATAAATGAAGTCTGGAATGTGCTTCAGACTGGGAGCAATGCAAGATCAGTTGGATCAAATAATGTGAACGAGCATAGCAGCCGCTCTCACTGGTACCATATATGCCTCTCTTGCTATCTTGTTTGCTTATTTCACATTTTGTGTCACATTATGAGGGTTGTTTAATATTGTTAATCCTTGCAGCATGCTCTCTATAATGGTAAAAGCAAAGAACCTAATGAATGGTGATTGCACAAAAAGCAAGCTTTGGCTTGTAGATTTAGCTGGAAGTGAGAGATTGGCAAAGACAGATGTGCAAGGTGAGCGTCTGAAGGAAGCTCAGAACATCAATAGGTCACTTTCAGCTCTCGGGGATGTAATATATGCATTGGCTACAAAGAGTAGTCATATTCCATACAGGTTCGTTTAAACTTGCATAATTATTAACACTTTATACCTTGACTGCTTTAACACTTTCCAATTATTAACTTCAGGAACTCAAAATTAACACATTTGCTTCAAGATTCACTGGGTAAGAAACTTCATGACCTTTGTTTAAATATCAATCCGTGATTACACTGTGCTTCTTCTGGTAATCTAGTGTGTATGTGAAAATGATGCAGGAGGTGACTCAAAGACTCTGATGTTTGTGCAAATCAGTCCCTCTGAGCATGATGTAAGTGAGACTCTAAGTTCACTTAACTTTGCAACTCGTGTAAGAGGGGTTGAATTGGGTCCTGCGAGGAAGCAAGTTGATACCGGTGAGATCCAGAAGTTGAAAGCAATGGTATGACTTCTGCAAGTTTTTTCTTATTCTTCCTGGATTTGTCTTTTTAGATTGTGTAACAGATTTTCCTTAATTGTTTCTTGTATAACTTTTAAAGGTGGAGAAAGCAAGGCATGAAAGCCGATCTAAAGATGAATCCATAAAGAAACTGGAGGAGAACATACAGAACCTGGAAGGTAAGAACAAAGGCAGAGACCACTCATACAGAAGTCTCCAGGAAAAGAACAAAGAACTCGAAAGCCAACTTGATTCACTCCATAACCAATCAGAAAAACAAAACGCACAGCTCCAAGAAAGACTAAAGAGCAGAGATGAGATTTGTAGCAATCTCCAACATAAGGTTCCTTCTCTTTTTTTCATTTCTGCTTAACATTTCATCGATCACCATTTCATGGCTAACATAATTTATTTTTCCCATTAAAGGTCAAGGAGCTAGAGTGCAAGCTACGGGAGAGACACCAATCAGATTCTGCAGCTTACCACCAGAAGGTATCTTTAGTTCAATACTGTTACATAAATCTCATAATGTTTTGTTGAGGAATACCAAACTTGTTAAAATGATGCCTGCAGGTTAAGGATCTTGAGAATAACTTGAAAGAATCTGAAGGAAACTCCCTTGTGTGGCAACAGAAGGTTAAGGATTATGAGAATAAGTTGAAAGAGTCTGAAGGCAACTCTCTTGTGTGGCAACAGAAGGTTAGGAGAACGACAGATCCATTTATCAAACTTTTCATTTGCAAAATATCACCATCTCGATCTTCTATTCGATATTGTGTCCCAGATTAAAGAGTTGGAGACAAAACACAAAGACGAGCAAAGCCAAGAAGCAGTGATACTACGACAGAAGGTTAGTTTCATGGATTGGCTCAGGATTTTCGAGCTTCTGAATTCCCGGTATCAAAAATTGTTTGTTATTTCGCAGATTAAAGAACTTGAGATGAGGCTAAAGGAGCAAGAGAAGCATATACAACAAATGGCAACAACTAGAGAATTTCCCGATGTTGCGAATGCTACTCCTAACGAAGTGAAAACTTGCTTCAAAGAAGATAACTTTGGCAATGAGAATATGGAATCCAACAACAACATCCTGAGAACATCAAACCGTCTCAAGACTAAAAGACACGATTCACTAAATCTCAATGAGATGACTAGAAAGAAGAGAGCCTCGAGAAGCGGCGAAACAGAGAACAATGGTGATGATCCTCAAATGAAGGAGAAAAGGATCAGGAAATCAGACCCACCAAAAGTTATCTCCAGAGTAGTCAGACCAACAAGACCAGCTTCTGGTTCATCAAGCCAAGTCCCTGTGGCTCATAAGAGAGTTATTAAAAGAGAACAACAAGAAGTTCTGGTCGGGAAAGAGAGAGACTCCAAGAAGAAGATTTGGTCAAGATAAATAATATCACTCAATAGCATAGAGAAACTCTTAATCTCTTGTGTTTCTCTATATGATTTTCTCTGTATGAAATTGAATATTAATACTTTCATACACTTTTCAAAGCCATGATCACATTGTTATTTCAATCTTCATATATAAACATTAATACATATTTGGTCTTATTATATTCATTCACCATCATATTACATCCAAATAAATAAATTTAAACCTCCTTCTACACTAAATTATTTTAACTCTTATCCAATTTATTTTTTCAAGTTCTAAAAGGACTTTCAAGACGAATATAATCATACATAACACCTTGAAACATTCCTATACTTCTCGTTTGAGTTAAATATATTGTATTATCACCAACACTTAGTAGATTTCCAGCAATGTCGATACTATACAATCTATATAACCCATGAATTCCATGTCTCGCGATCGCATTGTCCTTTCCGATCAAACCGGTTGTGAAAATATGACCGGATTTCGGATCGTTGATTCGAATTTGTAGTTCGGAACTAGCGGCTGATGCTAGAGCTAGTCGGAGTGTGTAGAGTCCGATCCGGTTCACGTTTTTTAGGTTGAATATGATTTGCCATGTCGTTGGTTGGTATGTATCGTTACCAAAGTTTCTATTGGATTAAACGTTAAGATAGTTATATATAATTTGAATAGAAGCATCAAAAATAAGGAATTAAATACTTATGTAGTACTAGTATGTATTTACCTCGTGACATGTGCAAAGAACCAATCTCTTCTATAATCACTTACACCGATTGTGTAGACAAGATCGTTTTGAGGGTATAAATCTGCGTAACGATCCCATAATCCATATTGCCTAAATCTGCAATCATTTAAATTTAGTGCCTATACTAGGAGTTTTGAATTGGGTCAACATGAAAAAACAAAAACAAAAAACGTAACAAACAAATCAACCCAATTAAAATTCAGAACTCTTAATTACTTATACGTAGATCTATTAAAAACAGTTTTACATGAGAAGATAATAGTACAAACCTGTCTTGAAGTGGGTTAACATAAAGCTTATTCATCAGTGTAGGATAAGGATCCGGTATATAGAATTCACCCGCGGTTCGATCCGGTACACCGATTTCCCACAATGTTGGACCGTTTCTCGGCGGTTCATACACTATAGGCCCTACATTCATCTCGCTACCTGCACACCCCAAAATAAATATTAACGCAGACAAATAATCGGGATTTGATCAACTGGTTCTCTAATCATATGAGCTAAGTGGGTCTAAAATGGACCTAAACATACATAAGTCAAAACTGAAGCCAAACCTAATACATTGATTCAATGTCACTTATATGTCAATGTCCAAATTATCGTAATATTTTTCAAGAAAATAAATAAATTGAATACATATGATCAAGCATGCTTCTCTAGCTATGATCAAAATGTGCTTATAATGGATAATTATACGTAGTGTATGTGTGTAAATATATACCTGGCGTGATGATAATGTTTTGCTCATACTTATAGTCTCCAATAAAACCAATACCCCATGCGTAGAGACTATAATTGCCTGCCCTCACATTCTCTATTATGAATCTCCCTTTTCTGTCAGCTTTCGTCCAAAATTGATACCCCTTTTTTTCCCAAAAATAAAATTAAAACACACTTATAACAATTAATTACAATAAAAAGAATCATTTATATACATTTGTATGAAGTACTGTATGAGTTGTTTTATTATCATACCTTGGATTCGGTTTGCCATGAACCGGCTTCACCAATTGGTGCCAAACCAACAAACGCAAATTTTCCATATATCTTTAACCTTGACACGTAACTACAACATTATATAGTCCAAAACAAAATAAGATTACAATCTAGAAGAACGTAAATATGTAAAAATTATATTTGACAAAAAAATAAGGGATGTTTATTTACCTGTCTTTGATTAAGAATTGACCTTCGATAGTTCCTCTTTGATGACGAAGAGGATAATCTTCTGAAGTTACAAAATCATAAGGCCAGCTTTTGACTTCTGCAGCCATCTGTGACAAATTAGTAATTCACCATTTTATATTAGTGTCAATCTAAGTTTTCAAAAAGAAACATAAGTTAATATAATTGATTCATTTAGTTTAAATGATAGTATGAGAAAGGAACCTGTCGTTTAGCATCTCTCCAGAGACGAAGAGTGGATTCTTTGGGAGAGACAGAGTTGAGATAAACCAAGACAGGACCAAAAACTTTCTTCCATGGCTCTCCATTTCTATAATCCATTCTCATCTCTTTTCCCGCATAATGCGTGCTCGTAAACATCTGCAAAAAACGTAATTATTTTAGGGGAATTAACAACGTTATTAACAATTTCCAAAGTATGAATATCATGATTTTTGGAGCATTGAGAATTAGCAATCAAAACCTAAATATATATCATGATTTTTGGAGTTTTAAGTGTATTTAAAAAAAAAACGTATGATAAATGGACTCACGGAAAGTGTGATGGGTCCAGCATGAGAGGTGAGGTCTTGCTTGATGGGGCCACCAAGACGGAACTCATCGCTCGGAGTTATCATCCAAAACCCAACCGGTGGGTCCGATGTGATCCAACCATGCACATTGTTGTCTTTGTCTTCCATTGAGTACATATACTTATCATCCACCTGCGTCACACCAAATGACCAAATCATTTCCCCATTGTGTGTTGTTTTAACAAAGATATAAACAAAACTACCCTGAAAAAAGAGACATTTATTTACGGTGACTATTTAGGAACGGTATAAATTTGTTTTTTTTCAATCGAAATACATAACAAATTATCCACACAAAAAAAAAACCTTTCATATATAATATATAGTTTTATCGTGTCAAATATAAGTGAATGATGTAAATGCAATATATTATTAGATATGGAGTATATTAGAAACATGTATATATATACCTCTCCTTTGAGCATAGGGTTGCTTGGATTTGTCAAAAGAACAGCTTCTTTGTAAGCTAATGTCTTAGAATTGTCTCGATCCGCCATCGATGGCATGCTTCTCTGTCGATCATCGGATATCGCCATAAAATCAAATCTGAAATTCATATCCCAAAAGCCACAAATTTTTTCACTAAATTAACTAGTTGAAATTGGCATTTAAATATAAATATAACTAGTGAAAAACGTATGGTTACTTTTTCGGGTTGAGCTTGAAGACAATCCTGATTTGGTCCATGTCCACGTCGGGCCAACCTCCTAACCTCTCCAATATACCGTACATGTATATTCCGGAGACACCACTTCGAATAATATATCTTCAGAAAAAATTTACATTGGATTATTAAATTATTAATTACTTTGGAGGTCATAATTATTAAATACACATAAATATCTCTTAATTAACGATGATCTCTACGTACCTTTTATCTACGTTTAGGGGGACCAAGGAGCCTCGTTTGGAGATGGTCCACGTTCTTGTAAATGAAATTTCAATTTGTTCTTCGTTCTGTGTTATGATTTCAAATTTAGTTCCTTCTAATCTACGAAAAACACACACAAAAATATAAAACTGTTAACTTTACATGTATAAATATCATCAGATACATCGATTTCATTGTTCGATTATTATTTGTAATATATACGGAATAAGAATATTTTTAGTGTATAAAATTATATCACCATAGATTGAAAAATTGAAATAAATATATACTTCACGGTAAGCATAAAAAGTTATAAAATTGACTGCGAGATATATAACAAAACAAGACAAGGAGAGTCTGCAAAACTCACTTGTCAGTCTCCGATTTCTTTCCCGGTTCATACCAGACTACGTCCCAATACCTATTTCCATAACAATACGCCCAAAAAAATTGCAATTAGACATTATTAAAAAGTTCTTTTGATTAGTATGTATTTTCTTAATGTAACATGTTCCAAACATATAAAGAAGTTGTGTTACAAACTCTTATGTTAAAAGAATAAAAGAATCTTACCCACGATCCTCAATTTCGTCGTCCAACACATTGTCGATACCATGGTATTTTATCCCAGTAATTAAGCCTTGTGGGCTCGAGAAAGTAACTTGAACAATACCATTATCAATTACCACCTTAAAACCAACAAAATTCTTATTATATTGTAAGAATATATATAAATTTGAAAGAAAAAAATAATTGAATAATTCTTACCGTGTCATCATGACCAACTCTCCTTAGCTGAACTGTTAAGGCTGGTATGTTTTGTCCAGGCTTTGTGATGTTAAGTTTGTTTCTGTAATAAAAAAAAGATAAATAAATTAGACCAAATCCGAGAGAGAGAGAGAGTAGGTATTTTTGGATTAGAATTATTCATTATTTCATATTTTCATTTAAGTTACAATAATATTAATCGAACTGTTAAAACTTAAAAGTATTTAAAATAGCTTCAAAAAACACTTGAGAGTTTTTAGCATTAAAATTACTAATTTATTGGTCCAATAGTTCTAGGTAGGGTCTACTAATTAGAGTAGATGATATGAAAACAAATTTATTTATTTTTATTCAATTTTTTGAAATTTTAACCATAGTGATCTAGCTAGTTATTAATTATAATGGTTGCCTATATCCATGCAATCAAAGGAAAATAGTTTTTGGTCTACTAATTAGAGTCATTGATCTGAAAACGAGTTATTTCATTTTTGTTTGGGTTTAAGAACTTCAACATTAAAACTGTAGTAGTTAATGTATATGGTACGAACTCCACTTGAATATGAACGGTCAAATTAATTAGTTGAAGAGTGTTGAAGACGGAAAGAATAATTCCAATTGAGGGAACACAAATATCCATCATGGTATTAAAAGGCATAAAGAACATAAAAGTACTATATAAAAATAAATAATAGTATAAAATAATCTGTTAAAAGAAAATATACCAAATATTTTTTGTATTATATGTGTGTGAGAACTGAGAAGAAGAGAAGTACTAGTTTAAAAAGAAAGACAAGTAGGTTTTGAGCCGAAAGGTAAAAAGTAACCCAATATTTTTCCAATGTTGTAATTAAAAAAAATAAACGAAGGTTGAAATTTGAAAGATTAATAAGAGAAATTCCATAAACATTGTATTCTTCGTTTTTTTTTTTCGTTTAACGGAAATAGTGACTTTTTGACACTCGTCTCGTGACGATCTCGGTTTCCAGATTCTCCTCTTTAGATGTTTTACGTTA